TTAGGAAACCCCTCCGGCTGCAGCAGACATTGCCCTCCCGAACCGCAGCCCTCCCAGAGCCAGCCAGCCCCCCAGGCTGAGCCGTCTAGTGGCAGACACTGGAACAGCTCTCCCACTCTAAACACAGGTCTTTGTTGGGCTGGAGTGCTTGCCATACAGTAGATAAAAACCTCTTTATTTGCCTTTACAATGTACCTTGAGTGTGCAGCTAGACCCATAACCTAACCTAAAAACGTCAGCGATACAGTTAAAATTGTCAGAGACCTTCCTGAGAGGAAACATTAAGCAGACGTGATTACTGTGTGAGTAGAGCACATGTACAAGGACACACCATTTCCCAAGAAACTCTGGGGCAGGAGTTTTTCCGGGCAGTGAGATTACTTTTTTTTTTTTGTAGTTATGTTTTTCAACATTCAAATGAATGGCAGTTCTGGGGCATGACTCAGATGAGAATGAACCATAAAAAGAAACAGCCTGAGAATAAATACAGTTGTATTTCTCTCCTTCACCTCCATACTAAACTGCCCCAGTGCCCTGTGTTTTTTTTATAATCCCCTTGCACCCAAAGGGCTTTTTTGATGCTGGGGAAGGGCATCTAGTTTTATATATATTTAGTCATTCAATCCAGGATGATCAGCCAGGACTTTCCATCACTACTCAGCCTAGTTTTGCAGAATAAGACCTTGGTTCTGCCAGAGTTCATCAGAACATAACTAGATTGTTTCACATCAGAACCAGTGATGCTATTAAATTATATTTATACCTATCAGATAGGCTTTTAGTCATCAGAAATAGAAATACCCTGCTGGGACTATACTTTCTGATTCAAGATTTTCAGTGCCTTTAAACACTTGTGTTTTAAAGCTTTATCTGTGGCTTGAAGCCTCTTCAGGTCAGAGTCTTCCTCCTACTCAGTGTTCCTACAGCACCTAGCACAAGATCTGTCCATGTTATGTGTGTCTTCTAGAAGACTACCATCCTTCAGACCAACTTCACTGCTCAGAGCCCATTGAGGTGTCAATAACAACTTTTTTTAGCAGCAGAAGCTGGCATTTGTCTTTGGATTGCATTTTATTTATTTGATGCTCTGGCTTACTTCCAGCGGCCATGCTGGCCTCGGTCCCCTCACCACCACCATTTAACAGCCTTACTGTGCTGGTGGAACCACACTTGCTTGTCAGCGCAGGGATGGCCAAAGCGAGTACTTAAACCCAGGATTCATCATGCTGCTATTTGAAGCCATGGAGGTTCTGCCAACTTTTTTTATGGGAATCGACACGGGCTGTGCTGACAACATGAAAGTATGCCAAGCATCGTACAAACAGAGAATAACATAACCTTTGTAGATTTCGTCTTTGCCTCATTTGAATCATATTCTAGCCAACCCTGTTCTTTCTTATATTACAAATAGTATTTCATGAAAAATTAAAAAAAAAAAATGTTTTTTTCTTTCTGTTTTTTCTTTTGGTGTCTCTTTTTGTGCTTTGCATTGCTAACTTGCAAGAAGACAAGCTGCTTGGGTACAAGTTCTTCAAAAACCTGCTTTTTATCAAGTCTGTCAGGGCATCTCACTAGTGAAACCAAGGCCGGCACTTACGACCAGAGCATTGAGAGCACACCCATTTCTCCCTGCCGGGCTCATCTTCCCTTCAAACTGTTCTGGCAGTTTCCCTTCATGCCTCACAGGATGCTGCCAACAGCCCTGGTAAGTCTCCCCCAACCACTGAGAGCCACTCGGCTGCTCTACTGAGCCACAGGGGCTCAGAGCACTCTGAGGCTATTGGCCCACTGTGCCTGTCCTCTGGGTTTATCTCAACTCTACCCCTGGTTTTGTCACTGTATCCTTCAATCCCCTCTCTCCCCATAAAAGTGTCTAGCTGTCTCTTAAACTCACTTTACCATTTGCTTCTTTGACCTCACTTGGCAACTTATCCTTGTGTTTATTATTTGAGGTGGAATAGTTCTGGCTACATTCCTGGTTTTACTCTTAATTGTCTAATTTCTAGAATGGTGTCACTGGGATTGGGATTTGGGTTTGGGCTTTTTTTAACTCATCGCTCTTTGACCAGGTCTTCTGTTTCATTGGGCTCCTTTGTGTCATCAGGACTTCTAATAACTAAAAGAATCCTAATGAATCTTTTATTAGATCTTCCCAAATATTGCAGCTGGACTTTCTTGTCCATTAGTGCCATTCTGAACTGCATACACAGCCTTTAATTACTTTTTTGTTAATTGGAAGGGAGGGAGGGTGAAGGAAGATTTTCCCCAAGCAAAGAAAAGTTGTCCAACTGCAAAAGCCCAGTGTTCCTCCTGGCCCATACTTGCCCCAGGGAGAAGGCACAAACAGGGCTCGAGCAGGACTGAGCAGCAGAACTTTTTCACGTTCTCTGGCAGCGTACCTTTGCCTGCTGGTTGCCTCTGTGTACCCACCTCATGCTAGGTCCAGGCAGCTCTGGGGTGTGGGGCTGCAGGCACCTTCTCAGAGCCCCTCGATCCACTCCAGAGCCTTGCCAGGCTTTTGGACAAGGTGCTGGGAGCAGCTTGCTCACCATATTGGATTTGCTGTCAGGTCACACTGATGACAGGAAAAGACTGAACATGACAGAGTTTCTCAGAGCCTGTCTGGGGAGAGGGAAGGAGGAAAAACACTGGTCTAAGGCACCTACCTGCACCTTCAGGAACTGCTCCCAGTTGCTGTAAGGTTGGTTGGTGGAGCAGTGAAATGATTCCTACTGACATCCTGAAACAGATAGGCCTGGTTGGACTGGCTTCTAAAATTAACTCGCCTAACCCACTACAGAAAGAGAAAGAACGAAATAAGGTTGGTTGCCTGATTGCAGCAAGGTAAAGCCTTTGTACCTCCTGTTTGGTCAGTACAGTCCGTACCCTCAAACAATATGATGTGCACCAGAAGTACATCATCTGGTTACAATTCAGGCACGTTAGCTCTCACATTTTACTAAGTAGAAGGGAACTTTGCTGCATTCACCTACCTTGGAAAAACTACTGCAAGTGAACCCTTGGATGCCAGCTGACACCATCAAAGAGAGAAGAGATCACATTCCCTTTCCTACCCAACACATCTTGCACATTATGAAGTGACAAAAAAAAGTAGAAGTGTTATCTGTGTAATTAACATTCTCCATTCTGGGGTGCTATGGAAGATACAGGACAGGAATAGCGTGCCAAACACATTAAGACGTTAACCATCAGACAAAATAAAATTTTAATTTAGCAAATTAATTGTGGGATTGAAAATTTTGAAGAGAACTAAGGATACTTGTAAAATATAATAGAGTGCAGCCCCCTCTTTATTCATATGGAGGTCAAGCTCACAGAAACTTGGCCTGCTGAGCCGTTTCTGCTTGCTGCAAAATGAGGAACTGCATGCTGCAAGAACCAGTGTTTGGGGGCTGTTTCTGAGAAATTGACGTAGTAAAGCACTTCAGTAAAAGGTGGCTTATCTTGCGAATAGAATCCTGAAAACAGGGAAATGAAAGAGAGAGATATAAAACGTCTCTCATGATAAAGACTGTAAAATAACTAGGAATAAAAATTTTAAAAATCTTGTAAACATTTACCATTGTCCTCACTGTACTCAGCGGGTTGGGGGATGTAATGATCACCAAACAGCAGAATAGCAGTAAGTACGTTAATTGAAAAAGTGGTGACAACAAAAACAAAAGGACATCCTCTGTCACTCATCAACCCGCGCTTCATTTTTTGTAGCCATCTACCATTATTATTTGAGATGGAATTCACTAAGCAGCAAAGCCAGGACTGTAGTTATTTACAGGTCACTGGAAGTCTGGCCTGTGCTGCAGCGGAGTTTTGGTTGTATTTCACAAAAGATACTTTTATTTACGTTTGACTAATGCAGGCACAACTGGAAGCTGATTTTTCTTTTTTTGGCTTTTAGAATAAACACTCGTGGCAGCTCTCTATTTTGGGTCCAGACTGAAAAACAGATTGTTTTGTAGTTGCAGAAGACTGCTGCGTAAATCAGAAAACATTATTATTGCGACTGAACTTTTCTCTCAAGAAAGTAGGAGGAGTTGCTTTATTTTTTTAATTCTGTGGAGTTTTATGTACACCATTCGCTCCAAATATTTGATGTTTGCCACGCTTGTTATGAGTTTCTCCAGAGAGATGCTGTCTTTTGGCAGCAAAAGATAAAGTTGACTGATACAAATGAGACACAGTACCCCAACAGTAATTAACAGTGATGCAATACCCATGTGAAAAAGAGGACTTGAAGAATTAACTGTTGAGTTTTCTTGACGATGCAGCTGCACTTTAAGAGAGAAAGCTCAACCCATCATAGAACTCCATTGTGTACATTAGAGAAAAAAGCTTGGCAAGATACATTAAAGATTTTTGCTAAAGAGATACAAATATTTTGCAAGGTCAAAGGGCGTTGAGGCAGGCTGTACTTACTTCCAAAGAAAAGTAGGCAGTATGTCAAAGAAACAGTAATATTTTTTTATCTTCATTTTCACACTTCATCATCTAAGAAAGACTGTCTTTTTCAACCTGCTGAACTGATTTAAGTCACCCCAACTCTAAGTTAACTTTTACTTAAAAGTCAGTCTATGACATTCTAATCTAAGAAGTTATCTGTGCTTATGGTTTCAGTGCAGTTCTACAGATGGCCAGTACTGCTATATATAACCTGGATTTTACTATTCTACAAAGTTCTTTGTATAAATCCTATGGGTCAAAAGAAAAGGAAGAGTTTGGTAAGAATATGAACAATTGAAGCAACTGCTTTACAGCACAATATGAAACTTGACACTGTTTTCTGCTGGCAGTATGATTCCAAGTGAGATGGATAAATTGTGGTCAAGACCTGGACAGGTTAACTAGTGGTCATCAGTGCTGGTGGTACCTTTATATACAAGAAAAAAAAAAAAAAAAAAAAAAAAAGAGGATACTATTGAACAGGGCATTTGAAATTTAATACCAGACATGAAACAAGACATCTGTTGGACTCTCATTTGTTTCGCTTTGAATGGGCTTTAATTGAAAGCTCAGTGAAAAATGCAGGTTACATTCTTAGTGTTATCAATAGTTTGTAACAGCAACAACATCAGAACAGTGATGCATCTAATATTTATACACTTTCTAATTTTAGATGTCTAAGAGCAATACATTATCAGATATATATACACACAATTTCAAGCAATTAAAAGTAAATAATAAACCCCTCCTCCCAAAACCCTGAAACAATATATTTCCTTACACTAATAATGTCTTTTTCACATATACTTGACAAAGAGTCTTTTTAAGTTACTTATCTTAAGAGTAATCTGTTAATGGAGATCCTGGACCAGCCCCATTAAAAGTTCAGTTTTAAGTTTATACAGCTTGCTAGCCACATAACCAGTGTGGCTTTACATTGTAAACAAATCCCAAATGTCTACAATGATTGGAATTACTTTTGTGTAAAGTAGATCTATGCATCTCATGATAGAATAAATTTAAACCAATACATTAAAAAGAGAGAGAGAATGGGAGAGGTTAATTGACAAACAAAAGTTTGGGGGGATCAATTATGTGATTATTTATAAAACAAGTTAACTTAATGGTAAGATTCTTGTTGTCTGTACAGAGAGGCTCTGGTTCATCTAGCTTTAGCTGCTCTAGAAATACGTCCTTTAAAAATAGGTTTGATTTGTGAAATTCAAAAGCAGAGATTCCAACTTTAAAAGCTTGCCCTTTGGCAGTACGAGTACAAAGTTTACCAAAAGTATCTCAGGTGATTGTTCCATCTCATCTTGTAAGGATAGCTGTACTAGCACTTGGAAACCTCAGCATATGCACAGATGAATTAAGTGTAAATCTTACCTTCAACAGGGAGGAATCACCCTACTCACTGCAGGACTTAAAAAGGTACAACAATTTGTACATAGAAAAGTTCAAGTGAAAATAAAACCAGAAAACTGGAGACAGATGTGAAAGGTAAGCATAGTTTAGAGCAATCTTGAAATGCGGCAATCTTGATTACTTTTTAACAAAATTACAGATAAAAAAATCTCTTGATCTTATTGGATAGGAACTTGTATAAGTCCAAATGGAAGACAAGGCTGAGCAGAATCCTACAGTTTAGTTAACTTGTGTCAAATGGGATGCGAAGACAGCTGCAGCTTTCTGACAGAGGTGATCGAAGATGGCTGATAAAGTTTGCAGTAGCTCATAATGTCCCATCTGGTTTATTCACTTGTTTGAACTGTCTAAAGGGCCAACTGCAGTTTAGTCATGTTCCTCTGATGCATGTTGTGATGACGAACTAATTCATCAGACCTGGCAAATTTTTTTTGACAGCTGGGCCACCGGCAACTGAAAGGCTTTTCACCTGTTAACAAAACACCCTGTTATTAACTGGGTATACAGCTCGCCTGAGACACTGCTATTTGTTTTCTTTCTGCAGGGTTGTGAGGAGCTAGGCAGAGCCCCTGTCAGGAGGAATGGCATCCTGGGCTGTCCCGAGAGGGTGTGGGAGTGCCCTCAACTCCTGCTCACATCAGCGCTCAGTGCTTTCCTACATCTCCCTCAGCTAATCTTTAACAGCCCTTTCAGATGACGTAGAACATTTTGCAGTGGTTCCTTCCTGAAGACAGGCCCTTACTGAACACCGCGTTGCCATGTCTGTGCTACTCTCGCTCTCGAATGAACTAGTTTAAAAGTCACTCTGGCATTTGCACAAGCTTCAGTCACACCTCAGACTGTGCTGTTAGTCACTGCGAGAATTGTCAGTGACTAGAGACTGACCTCAAGGCAAGGAGAGGTTTTTCCAGCTAGTTCAATGAGTTTTGGCTGAAGTTCTTTGAAACTGGTGAGTGTAAGTGAATATGGTAGAAACAACAGAGTTCAGCATGAAGTCCACTGAGCCAGACTGAAAGTTTCCCACTACTGTCTAAATAAAGTAGATTTACATCTATGGGAGATGTTAAAGGTTTAAAATATTCAGTATTTTTCTAACATTTCCATGAGCATAACGTTCACTAAAAATGACCCCAAGCAAAGCACATTCAATTTTAACAAGAAATGCCATCATCTTTTTACAGATTAATCTGGTCTCTCGATTTTCGACAATGTTTAAGTGGAATTTCAGGCTGTGTTTCTGATGCCGCAGGAATGTTGATGGAATGCGTTCATTAGCTCAGAGCAGTGCCCGGTGACTCATGTTTCTTTTAGAACTGCATTTTATTTTTTTTTCCCCAAAAAATAAATGCTCTGTGGCTGGGCTCTTCAGTGCTGTCTACCAATCTTGTACCCTCCAACTCAAGACACACTGGGGTGGTACAAGCTCTCCCAGACTTCTTTGCCTCACACTTTGTGCATTTCGCAAACATCCAAATTCAGGCAAAAGGGGATCTGGGATTGGCATAAATGTGTATTTCTGTTTGCAAAATCCCATGAAATATGTTTGGGGGGGGGGGTGTTTAAAATCTGCTTTATCCACTTAACATACATGCTGGCAAAAGCATCAACTATCTCACATGAGTGCATAAAACAGTATGGGACAAGGCTGATCTGGTCAGAGCTACTGATAAAAATCACAGACCGTATAAAGTGGTCTTCTTTCATCTCATCAGCATTAGCAAAACCATTCTGTGAACCAATGCGAGTTATCTATTACTGGCCTGTTTTTCACTGAACTACTACAGTAAAAGCAGCAGTTTTGCTGTTTCACAAGTAATTCTGGTTGTCCTCTTGCAACAGGGGGCAGCAATCTCTATTAGTTCCGCGCTGGGCACAAATTTATTTGTATAGTTTCACTGTACAGATATCACACATCACTTTTCCATTGCTAAAAATGTTTAGAGATATATGAAGTCTTTCTTTGATTATTGTTTTTGCTTTCTGCAGCAAAGATTGCTGTCACAGGCAAATTGCTTGTGGAGACAAAACCCCCTGAATTTGTAGTTTAACAGATAGTTTGGCAGTTGACTTAAAATTAGGATGGAACTAGATGGAATTCACCTGTGCTTTGGTTCATCAAGATTTAATATGGAGCAAGTTAACTTGCGCTAGATGTTTTGTTGGAAAATTGAGGGGGTACAAGAAAGAAAGAAGAATGAAGCTACAGGGCAAGATGGGGATGAAAAATCCCCACCCACCACTTGTGCTCATTCCCCTCAAGACGTGTATTTTACAGTCAAAGGAGCATGACACATCCAAAACCGCTGACAGGAGCATCATCACAGCAGCACACAGCTGGGCTGCAGAGCTCATGCAGAACCTGAGCCAGTGGCGGGCTGCAAGCCCACACAAAGGTCTGTGCTATGAGGTTATTGGTGCTCAAGTGAAGATGCTTTCAGCAATGAATGCAGTGTGGGCTTGGATCACATGGAGCAAGGAAGAACTAGAATGGGGAGATGACTTTCACTAGAAAAAAGAGAGCAAATTCCTCACTGATTTAAGTAATTTGGGGTAAAAAAAAAATACTGGAGTCATGAAAGTCTTGAATTGGCAGATCAGTTAACAATTAAATGTGATGGGGAATGTAGTTTATCCTGGTTTGCTAGCATGTGACAACCACTTGCCATTTTGTCTCTACCAGAACGTTATCCCTTGCTGATTAAGAAAATTTCTTCATGCAAATGCACACAGACCCAGGTCCTGCAACTCATCAAGACACTATGGGGAGAACCCAGGAACACAGCCATGCCCTTTACCATTTGTAGATCACAAGTGGAGATATGGCCATTACTTGAAGCATTTATTTGGCCAAAGCCACAAAAAAATTGTTCTCAGGTGAGTCATTAACTTTATTAAAATTTCTCTTTTATTTTTGAAAGTCTTAAATATGTGTTTTTATGGTGCAGAAGAGAAAAATGAATCCTTAGCAGGGAGAAAAATATTTTCAGGCTCCTTGTCCATCTGTACAGACTGAATTTAAAAGGTTAACACCAGTAAGAAAACACTGTGATATCTAACAACATGTCAAAGTTCTCAGGAAGAAATTACTTGGTAAAAATACTGCATACATAGTGGAAGGGAACAGAAAATGTCAGTTCATAGGAATAATTCTAAAATATAGAGATTGCTGCAGTTGCTTCTTAATGGTGTTTACATTTACGTGAGGGCAGAGTAGACCAAAACGGTCTCCTATTTTTTCCCTGTATTTATGGGAAATACTATCATTTCTACAAAAAGGTCTCTGAATATTTGAGTAAGCTTTTACTTTAGTGTCTGTCAGTGTGAGTTTGCAAAAGGCACTCCTGTTATCTGCTGGAGAGATTACAGTACAGGCAGCAACAGCAAGAGCTTTGCCGTGCTATCCTGCATTCGGCTCAACTGACACTTAGGAGAAGCATGAGTAGGCATGAATACTTTAGATTACAGACCTTCAGCTGAAGCTAGAATTAAAATTTCTATCTTGTAGGGTTTTTTCAGTAAAGGCAGTAGATCAACTTGACATTTGTGGGCTGAGACCATGATGTTCATTTCATAACAGCTGACAAAATATACTTTGTCAAGCTGAAATTTCTTTAAACATGAAGAAAGAAAGGTTAGTCTCCAAAATCACCTAAATCCCTTTGTGAAAAGTGACTACGATGCTTGGGGAAAATAGTCACACTGAAAATTCAGCACACTCTGGAATTATTCCTGTTGTTTTGAATATTTAACTCCCGGGTAAGAGACTTTCTAATCATGTAATTTACAACAACATTGATTTAAACTTTAAAAATAATGAAATATAAATGTGAAGAAAAGTTTACGCACTTGTTTTACCTGTATGAGTCCTGGTATGAGTCTTCAGATGATCAGATCTGGAGAACTTTCTCTGACAGGTTTTACACTGGAAAGGCTTCACACCTGAAGAGACAAAAAAAAAAAAAAAACATATTTATTCTTATATCCAAACACCTTTTTGGCTAAAATCAGCCATTTCTGAATTTTCATAAACGCGGATTTTTTTGTACTAGTTACTGTAACTGCTCCTTCCACCTTCATGCCTACATGTTACAGAAAGTCATTAATCAGGCTACCATCCCTTTGTAACCTCCTCTTCCAATGTCTGGGCCTGAAGCATCCAAACAGCACCATCATCAACAAACACTCACACTGTTGGACTAAGGAGGATCTGCAAACGCTGCTAATTCTGATCCTGTGGCTTGGCAGTATGGGTATCATGTATGAGCAAATATGATATAAGATTAGAGGTGCAGAGGTATATTTTTATATGCTCCCAATAGGCTTAACTTACTTTACACACTACACAAGTCTTGGGGACTGCTTAACACAGGTATGTTCTAGCATGCAGTTGCTAAAAATGTATCATCCCAATAGACTATTTTTACCACCAGCTTTCAGAGACACTTTCTACATCCCTCAATAACACTATTTATGTGGGATAGAACCTCTTTAGCAAGAAAAGTAGTAGGCAGAAATCCACTACAGAACAGCAAGTAAACCAATTGTCAGGCCGCTCCCTGAGATATTAGAGACCCAAATGCAATTTCTTGCTGTGACCCACTCAGGGGAGTACTCTGAAGCCCTTTCTTATTTGCCATGCAGAGTGCCCTCACGGTTCCACTCACACATAAAAAAATAACACATTCCCTATATTGGGGATACAGTATAGAGCAAACAGCTTCATTAAGAAAGCTGTTTCAAAAAGATGGCAGCAGGATGAAAGGGTCACCTATATATCCATAGTAGTGCTGAAATGCCAGTAAAAAACCCCAGCAACAGTCCTCTCCTAAAGCTAGCTTCAAGAATTTGGCACTATGGGTATCATGTATGAGCAGACACAACATCAGAAAAATAGGAGATTAGAAGTATACTTTTTGGATTGCAGTTCACATATAAAGATGAACTCTAATTAAGTAGAGATGTGTTGTCAACAAACCTGTGTGTCGTCTTTGGTGCCGCTTGAGTTGGTCTGAACGAGAAAATCTTCGTTCACAGTCCTTGAAATCACACTGATAAGGTTTTTCACCTGTAAAGGACATTTTATCAGAAAATGTGGCTAGATGAGGAAACACGTCAACTAGAATCACAAGATGAAATGTGTTACACTATAAGACTTGGACTTTTCTCCTGTCTAAAGCAGTCTAGTGGTACACTAGGACTCATTTGCTATAAAACCATACAACTGTGTTGGAATCAGTGGGGAAAGGCTGGCATAATCCTACTGCATTGACGCTGATATTGAATCTGCTCATTCTAAAAATACAGCCCATTAGGTTAAAGCTACAAAAAAAATCAGATTGCACCTTCCTCAAAACACAAATGATGCTTCTTCCACAAAGCATCATTAAATAGAATTTCTCATGTAGCTGCACACCTCCCGCAGGCAAGCCTATGAATTATTGCAAAGCCCCATGTAAATATAAATTCTTCCATCATCTCCCATACGGTTCAGCAGAGATCCTCAGGATGGGATGAAATGTGAAATTCTGACTTTTTGAAAAAAATAAATCCCTACGAGCTAATATCTCGAATGAACATGGTTTTCAATGCAAAGGACTTCACCAACCACATAAATATGCAAAAAGAAATGCAGCAGTTGAGGAGCTTGAGGAAAGAGTAGAACACTGCTGGCATGTAGTGTACCACCGGGTTGGTGAAATTTGGCCAGCACAAAAAAAATAATCCTTATGCCATTACAGGAAGAGCTGTATTGTCTTTCAGATCTGATTTGCATCTAGTCTAAGGCCCCCTTTGCACAACACTGGAATCCTGTAATGGCCTCAGATATAATTACATTTATACCTACATAAAGTCTGTTTACAGCGCCACAGCCCAGCGCAGAGGCCTCAGCACAAGAAGTAAGGAAACATCTCTCACTGCAAAGCCTGAGTTTTATCTGGAAGGTACACACAAGACCAGCTGGGACCTGCTTTGTCTACAGTGGAAAGCTGAGATGTAAAACAAAGGTCCAGTATGAAGGACCTAAAGAAAAACATCAGCTGAAGTGGACAGTGGATTTAATTTCTCTGGGTATAGTTTTAAACACACATCACTTCCATAAATTTTCATTGCAAGTGTCTGCATTTCTGATTTTATTATGATGAGGAAATGTATTCTGGTGGCACTGGTATTCTGAGATACCAGTGCAAACTATTTTAGTTTAAAACAAAAGCATTCTGATCTAGGTAACACTGCACAAGTAGCATATTAAGGAGAGCATTCCAAATCATACCGGTGTGGCTGAGATCAAAATTTCACAAAAGCAACTAAATCTGCAAGAACAAGCTAACTTCCTGTGACAGTCACCCAAAGGAGTTTACTGATTCTCAAACTTAGGTGTGGACAATTTCCATGTCTGCTGTGCTTAATTTATTAGCATAAGGGATTAAAGTTGCCACAGGTGTTTGAAATAGTTCCATACACTTTGACCGCAAGGACTCCCTGGGGGGTGCCTGCTTTTCAGAAACCACTTACTTCCAAGGAATTCAGCCCTTTGGCAGATTTAAGAGGGAGAATGTCAGCAGAGCAGAATGCAGTGACAGGATGATTGTCTGCTAATTGCAATATAAACGCAGAAGATGGTTAAGGAGGTATTTGAATAAAAAAGTATAGTGGGTCTGATGGCATGCACATGAAAGTATTTCTTTAAATACTTTGAAATATAACCTTGATTAAATTGAGGAAAAATTTAACCAATACCTATATTAATGGAATCCATCCAAGATGCTTACACAGATATTATGACACTGCATAGAAAACAAAAAGCAAACAAACAAAAAGAGGCACAATATTTAGACAGAAATCCTAATCTCCCTTTCCTTCTACACCTTCCATGTCAGCTAGTGCCAAGCAAAATGCCTGCCAAAGCTTACTGTCACATACCTGTTAACTCCTATAAATTTTATCAGAACAGAACAGAAATGTCCCAGATCACAAAAAGTTTGTTAGTTCCTCATTAAATCACTACACCGAGGGGGGTTAAAGCAGTGTCTAGTTTCCCCAGGCCTATTAAAGCCTCTCCAGTAAAAGGCTAAAGTCTCTTAATGTATGAAAAATATCCCATAATGCTGTCACCTTCCTCTGTGACCACATACAATTTCAAAACAAAACAGAAGATGAAGATTAAGCTTCACCAGTCCTTCCACCTGTGACTTGAGAGTCTTCCATGGTAATTTACATTCCATTACTGAAAGAGGGCACACAAAAGAAAGGCTAAACAGTGCATAATGAAATAGTCAAGATGAGAGGATAGAGAAAATAACAGTTCTTTAATATTTAGGAAAATATTTAGAAAAAATAAAGCTCAATAATCACAGAACAAGTATGAATCAGCCTTTGCATGTATTGCAATAAATGCTTCTAATAAAACAAACCTATTTGCTCAAAAATAGCTAACTAACTACAGGAAGCATGCACATTTTCTCTGGAGCACATTAATTTGCCAAGACTCGTGGGAAAACAGAAATTCCTACTTCTGTAGCAGTTGCCCAAAATATTCATAATCATTGCATTTAATTAAGGAGTGCTGCGTTGCTAACAAGAAAACATGGAGGTTGGTTTTGAAACCAGAGACTACAAGTCTGAATGCTTGTCTATACTCCACCAATTTAAACCCTTTTTCTCATGTACCCACTTAATCAAATGAGCACAACTCCATAATCACAACTTTACCTCACTAATACAACATTTTTCTATTCAATATAATTTGGTTTAGCAAACTTAGATAAGACATATTTTTCTTTATTTAGTAGGGAGCTTTTATAGGTAGCAGCTCCTGTCATCTTCACACTGGAGTTGAGGTGTGAGGTGTCATGACTGTTTTGAAACTAATCTTGTATTTTAAATACATAAATAGTCTTATTTTATGCCATAGAAATGAGAGCCTAAAAGCAGACCATGCTGGGTGAGGCCAAAGGTCCATCCAGCCCAGCATCTCCCACCACGGATCACCGAAGATGCCTGCAGGAGAGCAGAAGATAGCAAGGATGCAGCAGTATTTCCCCTGGACACTCCCTAGGATCCAGCAGCTCATGGGTTAGCAACTTTCTGAGCCAAAGGTGGCTTTCTATTTCACATTTGTTAATGAAGTTTCTTTCCATTAATTTGTCCAGTTGTTTCTTGAACCCATACAAGCTTTCAGCTTCCATGGTATTCTGCAGAATGCTATTCCCTGGCTTAAGTATGAAGGTCAGTATTTCAAAGCAACGCTAATGAAATAGTGCTATCCTAGAAGTTACTGCACCGAACTCAGGAGGAGAGCCTGTGCAGTTCCCAGCTCAGGCACAATTACACTCATTTATCAATTTTTCATCTCTGTATACAGAGGACATACCTCTGTCTTTCAAAGGTGTTGTGATGACAAACTGCATTAATGACTGTAAGGCGTTTAGCAGCATGGTGGCGCACGCCACAGTAAGAGGATATTTGCTTTTGTCAAAGCAAAGAAATCATTAGATGATTAGCATAAAAGTCATTATTAGAATGCATTACCCAAACCCCCTGGAGCCTCAGAAATTCACCACTGAGAGCTCAGTCACCTACCACATACAGCACAACCTTCCTGATTTAGAGATTCTCATGCTTCACTGTGCAAACTCATACCTGCAGCTGAGCATGTTTAGGCTGAAGAGTATCCCTGGCAAACAGGCAGAGGATATTTTCTCTGCAGAGACACTCAGCTTTCTGTTAGGATAAATCCAGTTTTTCTGATGTGTGGCACTGAACCCAAAGGGTCTCTGGCAGGAATGCTGATGTTTCTACCATAAATTAAATTTATGGAGGCATAGACATCAATTTGTTTCTGCAAAGAAGTCTGTGAAGTCCGCCACAGGATGGTAACTCACATTAATTGCTGTACTGTTCAAAAGTTATATGTATTTTTGCATTTCCTTTCAGAGGCCTATCTGCTGCAGCAAAATACACCAAGATAAGAAAAAAGCTTTCTTGGCTGTACACGTTTCAATAAAGGCATTGTTAACAATGGATAAGCAGTCTTGGAGGGTACAAAATGTCAACATATTTTCAACTAAGGCTATGTTGAAACATTGGTAAAAACTGGTTACAGAATCTAATTTTGTGTTTCAGGGCCCTGCTTGATTTTGCAATGCTGTAACTGGTGAAGAATGGAAAATCTGATGAGCCAGTCCTCTGTAAGTATCTATCATAGCAAGAAAAAAGATAATCAAGAGCCAACATTATTCTGCAAAGATACTACCTGCTGGTTTAATCTTAGATATATGTAACAGCTTGTTTTCGAATCATGTGTTCATAATTTAAAAAGTGACCTACTACTACACTAAAAAAGGTGGAAGACCTTCAAAACCATGAGTGAATCAGAAACACCTTACAGGAGGACTAGTAAAATTTTATGTTGGCTGTAGAGAGGTATGCCAAACACAACCAAATCATCCTCCACTTGATCTGACATCTGACAGCTCTCCTGACTTTAGACTGGCTCGTCAGGACTCCTCCCTATCGAAACATTGAAGCAGGAAAAGAAGGGACACATCCCTTTGTTTAGTAAGAATATTAGGTGCTCTATTTGCCAGCTGCTCTCTGTCCAATATGCTAATTCCACCAAGTCAAATTTCTGTACCTAGTAGAGAACTCTAGAATGAGGTTTTGAAGTTCATTGGGTTACAAACAGAAAGATGATCAGAGAGCCTAAGAGAGGCCACATAATTATCAATATAAACCAACAGCCTCACTCTAGTCATTCTGGCCCCTTAAGATATCCCCTAACATATAAACCCAACCAGCTGGAGAAAAGAAAGAAGGTGCAGAGAAGTGTGAACAGTAGCTACCATAACTGGTTATCAACAAGACACACACATTCTTCATAGAGATGATTGATCTGCCTTTGGAGAAAAATGGTTTCCAGGTTTTCTACAAGCAGGAGACACAAATCAGTATTAGATAAAGACATGACGTTACAAAGGAGACTGGAAATGGATTTGAATCACAAAAGTCAGTTCAACTGTCTGAGACTCCTGAAGAGCATGGGATTGATAAAGACCATTATGACCACCAACTCCAGACTCTCCACCAAGCAGCCAAGAAAATATGTTAACTCAGAAGTGTTCATAGACTATCCACTCCACATTCTCCCATACAGTATAGTGCACCAAACACTCCTAAAAACTGAGAGTAACAGACAACATAAGGAAACAAGAAACAAAGAGCATCATATTTGAAGGCTCTACAGCAGCTGGGAATTTCGAAAGTAAAATTTCCAGACAATAGTCATAGGAAATAGCTAGTACCCACACAACATGCTGAGGACAAAAACCTGCCATACTGATAAAGGGGAAAACTCCCTTCTGGTCCTAAAGCTGAATACATCAGCCAGGCAAGATACCCAAGCAATTCTCACACCAGCAGTGCACTATCCCTTGCTTCCTCTCTTTAGCTGCAACTAAACTTGAAAGCTTACAAGGTCTTAGTAATGGCAATGTTTGTATCAGCAAAAACAAGCTTTGGGAATCAAGTTGGCCTCATGGAGAGCAACTTGCAAAGGCTTGAGAAATAAATAAGTTTTGTTGTCAACATAACAAAATATAGTGGCAGAAAATTTGGGCTCACCCATTCAGAAGAGAGGGGGGAAACATTTTTCTTCTACCCCATTCTACTATTGCGGAAACCAAAGGGAAAGGGAGGGGCATGCACAACTTCAAAGACATGGGAAAAGTCTCTCTAAGGATGTAGATCGCCATAGTCCTATCCCCTATGTCTTCTGGGGGGGGGGTTGTGCCTCTACATGCCTAGATTATACGTGGTATAATGCTGGAAATCTTCTCCAGTTAAGGAAAAAAAAAAAAAAAAAAAGTTGTAAGCTGAAGTCCTTGTGATGCATCCAGAAATAATATTGCGAAAGCCAAGCAACTAAATGGAATAAAATACTGGACCAGAACAAACAAATTATGACTGTTAAAATACAGAGTAAATCACTTTAGGAATTAAATAAATAGTGGTTATAAGAAAAATGCAGAACTGTTTAGGCATACTCAAGAAAAAAACCACAATTAACAGATCCCGAAGATTTCCAAATTTTCTTCTGTTGCCATTTTATTAACAGAAAATAGTATAGCATTTCTGTAGACCTTCAGCTATGACGACTAAACTCCAGTTACAATCTAAATTATCTTGAACATGTAATCTGAGAAATACTGAAGATGTCTACCTGAATATTTTGTGACTTGCCCATTCAGAAATGAGAAATGCTTTGTCATGTTAATTTCATAAGTATTTTATGCAATTAACTAACATCACCACGTGGTCTCCAAGAGGAAAAGTTTGCAACTATTTTTAATGAAATCTTAGGCAATCTGCTAGGTCATGGCAGTATGGACTGCCTTCCTCTTGGTTGTCTCATCCCTTTCAGCTTCCATCATATTAATTGTTAACTGAGCATCCATATTTACAGATTTTATCCACAGATTTCTAGATTAGAACAAAAAGAACTGTCTAAATAAAAATGATAGGCAATCAAAAAAAATGCATAAGGAGCACATCTAAAGGTATATCTTAATTATACATTTCCAACAGTGTAAATTTCTCAATAGGGGAAATAATGTTTACTCTTTAACAAGGTGAAGCAGGGCATTTGATTTCCACATTTTGAGACGTAACTTATATTACCTGAACTCAGAGGGAATCCAGATCTTAGCCTACAAATGACTGACTTCAGGCTCAGTTCTTCATGAAAAGATCCCATAGCAAGAAAGCTCATTTGCCAATCCCCGACTCTACCCCCAACCAGAAAATACTTACACAGGAGGACAAGTGGGTGCTAAATGCCTAGGTTCCTCTTGCAGAGGAAACTTCTTAATAGTTAACAGTAGATAAAATTTGGAGCAAGCTTTGATGCTCCCAAATGCTGGGGGGGGGGGGGGGGGTTGGAGAGTGGCGGGAAGGGAAGTAAGACAATTCACAGCCCTGAACACACCCTATAACACTCAGAGAGGGAGGGAGGTGATCTACTTGCTGTCAGTGCTGCTTTGTATTTTTCTTCACTAGACTCAGAGAATCTTCTCACCCAAAAGAGGGATTGCCCAGATGACAGAGCACGTACATACTCATCTGACAGATTCTCGCTGCCCCTGACCTGGCAGATCGTTTCTTGCACCTCATGCAATTTTAAAATCACCCTACCCACTTTGCTGTCCAGTGCTCTAACCTGATTTATACCAATCCACGCTGACACTTACCAGTGTGCTTTCTGCTGTGCATCTGTAAATGGGACAACTTAAAGTAGCGCTTGTTACAGCCAGGGTAGGCACACATGAAGGGACGTTTTTCATTTGTCTCGCTTGCTGATCGGACAATAGTTGGAGCTACTCCTGGCACCCGTCGGACATCCTACAATGACAGAGACTTGCTAATGCAGTGTGTAGTTCTCAAGCTTTTACATAACATATTCAAAGACAAACAATCAGAGGCACTTCTCCAGGACAAATAGATACTTAAATATGTTATACTGCAAGCAGGCACTTTTTTTTTTTTTTTTACATTAACAAAGCACAACCTTAGTATACCTTAATCTGTTATTTGCAGAGTATTCAAATTATTTGAAGGTGAAATACAGTGAACTATACTTATTAAATTCTCTCACCAATATTTATATGCAAGATTAAATGGGCCACATTCCAACCTCACGTATAATCCCACAATCCTGGAAGAACAGTCATTGGCATATGAAACGGTTTTAGGCTTATACCAGTGTAAGAGATAAGAACACAAGCCAGAGTACCATTCTTCTCTATTTTAAATATTCATATGAAGTTAAAGGACAGGGAAGTGAATGTATTGGATTAATACAAATTGGTGAAAAACAAAACAAGAAAGACTGTCTAGGTGGAGCTGGTGAATAATTCAGCCTTAATGCATTTTGGCCGCTGTCACAATGTTCCATCAAAGATGATCTTCTCCTCCTGGGATAATGAACTTCCTTAAACAATATCAACTGCTTACTTGTATTCACTCAGCAAAAGCTGGCTCACAAGCCTATTTCTGAGAGCTTGCTACTGAATAATGACTTGTTAAACTATGCAGAAAAGGAGAAGAGATGCTATCTAAAAACACTGATGTACATTGACAGCACAGAGCAACACAGAAGAGGCAGATATTATGTAATGACTTCGCCATCAGTTTTAAGAAGGTTTCTCTTTTACAGTGGTATTTATTGATTGTATGACTGCTTCAGACAGGGAGGAAATTAACTCCCATGAATAGTAAGTTCCTTACAGATATTCACTAATTACTTAGTCATTAGGAAACAATCACGTATTATATTTTGTTTTAAGGAAATATGTTTGAATTAGTAAAGTTTCAGAAATCCATAAAAGCAAAATGTCATCTAACGGTTCCTTATATATAGTTATCAGACGTAGTCCATTCTAACCACAGAAGCTTCACATGGCTAAAGTGACTGGAACTAGAAGTTGGAAACTAGATCGTGTATTTTGGACCATCCTGAGAAAAGGGTGATGAATACTGCCTTGAATACATACTTTAGAAGAAGAAATAAACAATTTTAAACTACTGTGTCAGAAAGAAATCTTACATCATACTTCAATAGCTTCAGTGAAGTCAGGACACTTATGTAAAGCATTTCTTGATAACACAGGGAAACCACAAATCAAGGATAGATTTATAAATACCATTGAAGTAATAAATGAACACTATAAACAGGCAGCAGTTTTACTTCCCCATGAAGAATGCCCTACTATACTCACTTGTATGCCTCTAAAAACTCCATGGGTGTGTATTCTGTACTGGGCCCCACAGCTGTATAACATGGGAGCGCTGTGGTTCTCGTTTTCATATCCTGCTGTATGGCTGTAAACAAAGAGTGGAATAATAGGAAAATTAAATATTTTTCAGTATTCAGCTCCATGTGAGAGGTTTAATTTATTACATTAGTGATGACATATGTAGAGTTCACTTTTATAGCCTGGATATCCAAATTCAAATGAAATTCACCAAAGGAAGCCTGCTCTGCCTTCGGATGGATCTGCTCCTGCTGGCACAATGCATGGACTCCATACATACATCTATTAATATCCATTAAGTCAGTCCAGTTAAAAAAATAAAATAATAATAATAAAAAAAAAAAAAAGTAATGATTTGAAGTCTGATGTATTTCCACAAACATTTTAGGTAAGAGGAAAAAATCCACATAGCAGCATAACTGTGTCATGTACACATGTACACATTATTTATCAGTTAAATGTGGAGCTGGCTATTGCTAATATCTTTTGGAATGAGCAAAATGCCTCAAGTTTCACATTAAGTGCAGTGGATTTTTGTCAGCACCTCATGACTCAGATATTACCAGATACTACCAAGAAAGTGATGACATTTATAAGAATAGCAGTCATGTACTCATAAACAGAGATTACAAATCAGTGTCCAAACTATTTATCCCACATATCGGCTTGCAGGATGTGCTACAAATTAACCCTTTATAAAAATAAAATAGAAAACAAAACCCAGCCTATCCCTACTGAGTATAAATTTTCACGATTCCTCATGCAGCATCATCACAATGATTTTAAAAATTTGTAACCTTTGTTGCATTTTGGGTGTGTCAGAACCATATGTTTCATTTACTTATATTTTTCAAAATCCTACGTTCTCCTGTCCAGATTGTTAGCAACATTGTTATGTTTCCTGTTTGCAACCTTCTTAATGTCAAAATTATGTAAATAAATTTTAGTTTTTATTTTTAAATTAGTATGTTACATTGCTGTGTACATTGCCACACATATTAATATACATTGGCAACAGTAAGTGTTCATGTATTACACTGCACTAGAAATTAGAAAGCCCAGAACAAAGCCCAAGGGCGCACAGCTAGGGACAAAGATGGATACATAGGATGTTATCCCAGTCTTTGCCAAATGCTTGCAATAGCAATTTGAAGGGATCCCTGAGGCCCAGATTCTCATTTCACTGGTTCTTCCTTTCTCTTCACTCAAAGTTCATGTGCAGAGTAGAATTACAAGGAAGTTTTAAACCTCTTAAGTGATTTGCAGAACAGTCAGTGGAACTGGAATGCGGGAGACGTCTAAATGGTTTGTGAACCTTGCTAAACAGGAGGGGAGCTGTATTTGTGAACAGCTCTTACGGCAGCATGTAGGCTGCATTATTTGTCCCCATAGTGGCTTGCAGGCTGTCATGTGGCAGGTGTCTTCTTTTACATCAATTCCTTTGCTGCTTAAAATACTAGTTACAAATCCTGGCTCCACCTGACTATTCCAACCACAGACTGCACCTTTTAGGAAGGTATACTCTGTTTATATCAAGTGGCAAACAAGCGATCATAATGAAATGTTATAGGGTGGAGGCAAGAAAGTACCTCTGATCTGTAGTAATATTTGTTATCATAGATAAAGGAAGATATCATTATCTGATCTAATTGGATTAAACTCTTCTCTAGATACATACTATGTCCAACTGAATATGGTCTCCTCTCTGCTCAGGGCACAGATGTGACCTTTTGTTCCCGATTACAAGTAACAAATTACCATTTTCTCAATTCAGGTTCCCCATCAGCATTGAATTTTCCTCTCCATTTAAAAGTAGCAAGTCCATAGATGTGAAAAAAAAAAAAAAAAAGTTGAAAAGCGACCAACCCATGGTGATACCCACATTGATCACAAATTAAACAGCAGAAATTAAATGAGAGCTACCACTTATAAGGAGGAAGTTCTGCAGCAGAAGCTATTGTTGATCTGCAACGTAGGAGCAAATCAAGGGTAAATATGAATTTCAGCATTAGCCACCCTAAGTAACTGTGTAACCTCTCATTCACACCTGTACTACCAACCTTACACGTTACAATCAACAAGAGACACAAAGTTGGATAAGAAGAATTCTCGGGACAGAAACTTTAGAAGGAGGAACAGGAATACTCAGTAAAAGTTTATACCATAAAACAAAGTCTAACTTTCCCTCCAAATTTACACGGTTTTCATCTTCCAGTCATAACCATTTTTGTAAAGACCAGTCAGTTCTGAAGTAGTTCCTCCCAGGAATAATCAGCAGAACAAAGACCCTGTCTGTGCCCAAAAGAATGGCTCTATGAATGGCAGGTATCCTCCAGATGATCCCCATCTCAATTTTTATTGCACAGCTGGGAAGCCTTCCTCAGCATTCAAACTTTTTCATATTTCTTCCCATTATTTCTAGTTATATTTCACTAAAACTATACATATAACTGCAAAGCCTTGAAGATTAAAACCTGTTTTCTGAGCCTCTTCACCCATAACACACTAAGTAATGAATAGCCATCTCCCATAACCAGCTCCCTAGGAGAAAGGCTTTAATAATCAGGAACCCTAGCTCCCATTTTTACATTGGGCACATTTCCATCAACCTTGGCTGGTACTCAGTGTGGTCATATGGATGATGACAGCAAAATGGATCACATGAGATTTCTTGGTTTAAAATATAATTTATTCACTATGAAGCACTGTGGAATAATCCAACCTTCGGGGAGATAGAAATTAACAGGTGAATGTTCTTTCCAGTCAGTGGAGGAACTGGAACACTGAAGGAGGAGTTCTCACAAACTGTCCCTACAGCACTGCTCTCTTGAACTTCAACCTTCACTCTGCACCGATAGTAACCTCACTGTGAAATACAATATTTTTTCTTCTTCCAGCCTCTTTACTCAATGCATCCATGGTGTATGCCACAAAATGTATACCACAGTTTGCACAGTTGGCTTGTTTCATATTGCTGCAGTTTATATACTAAAAAAAAAAAGTCCTGACAGAAGAACCAATATGAATCTCCCAAACACCTTACTGAAACACCTGCTTTATTGCATACAAGACATAATGATCAGATGCAATGCCACATACATGAGCAATGCAAGGAACTGATGAATTTATAGCTGCAGTACATTAAGTAAATGGAAATCTTAAGAGGGTAGGAGATTCCTTAACTTTCATCTTTTCTAGTCAGGCATGTTATGTTTAACTAGGCAAAGACACAACGCCTTATACACTTAGGTCACCAAATCTGTAAGTATAATAATTTAAAATTATCCTGATAGACACTGAGGACTAGATAATAGCCTAGATCTCTGCCACAGCACCACAACATACACCCCAGATACACATTATACATTAAGAAGATGATGCATTAGCAATTACACTGCACTGTTCAGATGAACAGTGATAACCCAGGGTAGGCAAACACTGATACTTCTGGAGACACAGCCTTCTGGGACCAGGACCCACACATCCTCTCCCTGCAGGATGGGCTACTCAGGCAACACCACAGCAGCCTGGAAAGGTGCCAATGGAGCCGCTCGCCGCCCTGCTGCAAGTGCACTCGGAGCACAGCGGAGAGCACAGCCAGAGATCCTATGTTGCGTCATCCCCCGCTCCAAGGGCTGAGCAGCCCCTGGGAGAAATTCAACTAAAGCCAGGGGGGTAAGCAGGGGATGTACAGTTGAATTAACCAAAGAGAAAAAAAACAAAACAAGACAAGACAAAACAAAACAAAACAAACAAAACCAAAACCAAACAAACAAAAACAAAGCAAAACAAAACAAAAACAAACAAACAAAAAAGCAAAAACAAAACCAAAACAAAACAAAAGCAAAAACAAAAAACAAAACAAAACAAAAAAAACAACAACAAAAAAACCACACAAAAACAAAACAAAAAAAAACACAAAACCAAACAAAACAAAAACAACAAGATTCCCAGTAAGGCCCAGAGTTATAGTTAGGAAAAACGCTAGACCAATCCCTCCACAAATCCTAAAAGGAGTCAGAACTAAGCAAGGCCAGATGCAGCCAAACTGGCATGCCAGGATCCAACAGAAATTTTTGTTCAAGCAAGGACTGAAGGATTCAGTCTAGTTCTGCCTTTACTTGTAAATATACAACTCCCTTCAACTTCAATGGGAACTTCACAAAGGCAGAACTGGACTATAAATATTTAGAATTTGAGTTGGTGAAAAAAGGACTCAGTATATTTTGTTCTCTGATTCTAGGCAGCCAGAAACAGACCGGGAAACAGCCATAAAATGTAACTCTAGATAACTGGGAAACAAAGACTGATACTTATGCAACATAAAACGCTAAGCAAGCACTATGTGTTGTATTTAGAAGCACTTGCATTTACCATTAGCCCAGCAAATCCTTAACACTCGGAGAGTAGCTCTTTTAAAATGATTAATCTCAAAGTTGTACAGATTGTACAAAGATTAATAAAAATGAAGGTTTTACAGATGAGAATGTGTGATGAAAAACAGAGCACCTTTAGAGAGTTGTATCAATCTAAGTGGTTATAAAAAAAACTCATAAAAGATGACATTCTAATCTGAATATTTTAAAAAATAATCAAGCTGCAATTTCTCTCTCACACCATTTTTACTTTGTTAAACTGGAATTGTCTGTCTAATGTATAAAGCAGTTACAACTTAATCTGAAGAGTGCAGCTTTTTATTATTATTTCATAAACCAAAAAAGGGAAGCTTTAGGGCATACTGAGGAGAGTTAGAAAATTTCAGATGAAACGTGAATACACATTGATTCATGAGATTCAGACTTGGAAGAATAAAAAAAGCCAGAAAGCAAGATTACATAAAACAGGCACCACATTAAGCCTCAATTTAATTGTGTTTCAATGCAGGAACAGGAATTTTAGGGTTTAGAAACAGAGCCAAAAATGAGGCAAAGCGAGGGTGTGGGCTAGTCCCGTTGATAACAGAACATAAAGGAAGAGAAGTAGAGTTAATTCCCTCTGCTAAAATATTTACCATCCTAGCACCCTGGGAAAAATATGTATGGAGACAGCAAAAAGATTCTGTCTAGTTATATAGAATATCACGTTTCTGCCTGTTTTTTGTCTAATACTATTACAGAGGATAGAGTATAAAGCTGCATTTTTATCTGCACTTTCCAAGGCAAAGGAATATTGAAAAATGTGATTTCACCGATTACAGCCTTTCTGCCATCTTCAATGAGAAAACCAGATGGTTGATTAAATGAAGGCACTGGATTTTCAGGGGACTCTAGTCTCTCTGACTTCAGTAGTCTTTCTTTGGTTTGGGCGTTTTTACCATTGACCTGAGTGGAATCAGGATTTCACCCAACGCTTCCCTTCAAAATGAGATCCTTGGCTATCACTGGAAAAGGGCAAATTCAGTGTTAGAGACAATAGGTCATTGTCCATTTCCAAGTCATCTTGATTGCAGAACTGAACCCAAGTAGGAAGTTTTGCACCTCCAAAGTTTACTAATAATTCCGCCAAAGCTAAACAGAAAAACCTTCACAATTCACTCCCAGACAAAATAAGTTTTCAATGTCTTGTTTTAGATGTAGTTTTAATAGTGTGCTACAGAGATCATACCTAATTTTCCTTCCAGTGAGCCTGAGCAAACAGCAATAAATACAAATTTCCATGGAACGTGATAGTTAACACCCAAGCAAAACCAAAAGGGAAAAAAAAAAAAAAAAAAAAAAACCAAACTAATTTTGTCTGGTTATATACTCAATTTCAAAATGACTGTTGGAAATATGGATCAAAACCTTTTGAGCAGCTGAAGAGGCAACTACGCAATATTTCTGTTAAGTCTTGATGTTGGGTATGTGGCTACACTCCTTTTCTACCGTGCCATATCATCTCCTGCTTGTTATAAGTTATTTCCATGTCACTTTTATACAGAAATGATCAAAATATCAAGGAGGGTTTTGTAGTCATGAGGTCTACCTCTACAACAACACTAGGAAGGGAAGGAGTATTTTCCACATTGGACAAATAAGAAAGAAACACAAAAATACTAAGGACAGAAACTGAAGGGAAAGGTGTCCCCTAATGTGGAAATCTTAGGACCTGAGTTCTCAGGGTAATAAGCGAAGGACCCACTGACTTTCCTGCAACAGTATAAATCTGATCTCAGCTACTCCAAACAAAATACCACAAAATGAGGAACAAACCATCAGTAAACCATCAGCAAACAATCTGAAGAGATAAAATCCAGTCCCACAGTGATGTTCACTGCCATAACCATGAAGCTTTCCTTTCAGACCCTTGAAGCTGCCAGTTTGTGGGACAGCTCTCGCAGAGAAGCCAGCTCTCTCTCTTGTCTACCCCATGTTCAGAAGGTGAAAGACAAGTCTCTGGACAAACAGGCAACACATAATCAATGCACTAGCTCACAAGGCACTGGTTTTCCCTTACATGAGTTATAAGCACAACCTGAGCTCAATCTTTGGCATTCAGAACCTAAGTGAAAATGTACAACATAGATTCAAGTCACTTGGACTGTATGGTAGCAGTAGTGGGTTGTCTTCTTCTCCAGGGACAACTTCTTGCAGAGGGAAGCTCAGTTTGGGCCATCAGACCTCCTTTTGGTTTGCCAGCAAGTAGAAACATCTAGAATTCATGGCTGCAGTGTTTGCTATCTGCTTCCCCATTTACACCTCTCTCCGTCTCCCTGCCAGTCTATCATGCTGTTGCATTCTCCCGGAAGACAGCATCTCTGTTCACCTTGTGTGTCTCTCTCCACCACTTAGAAATTCCTGGACGGGCACTCCAGTCCATACCTTGTACTGACCACCTCTGCTTGTCACTCAGGCCATGCCTTCTGCAGTTCCCTAATGCTTACACCTACTGAAAGCACTGAAAGACTAAAACCCACTGAGACAAACTTCTTGTCCTCAGTTCCAATGTCTGAGATCAAAATACCTGAGGAGGAAAAAACATTCAGGAAAAAAAGTCTTCTGAGGCCTTAAAGCCATAGGCTGAAGCAGGCTCTGAGCAGATAAAATCATTTGATAGTTTAGATGCCAGGCTCTTGCTTCCGATCACACATGAACAGGACTGTTCATAAGCTTGCAGCTCAAAGGGAATGGTTTTCACAGTGACTGAAAAGGACACAGCTTTGGCCACCTGACAGTATTCCTTGCCAAATTTCAAACTTTTAATGTGGAGTGAGGAGATTCTGGAGCTGATCAGTCAAATATCAGCAAGAATATAAACAGCTAAAACCAGAATGCTCTCAGACAAACTGCTCGATAGCTTAAGCACAGAAGCTGTTAACAAACTCTACCTGAAATTCATGGCAACAGCTTCATTTCAGTATATTAAATATATTCTGAACATGAACCCAGAAAGCAAGCTACTGAACTGGTCTACTGTCAAGTATAAAGTGTATGACCTGTGAGTTTTATGTAATTGTAGAGTTCCCTAACTATTTGCAGAACTTACTGGTAATGTTTTCTTCCTTCTTATAATGTGTAAAAGCCTTATCAAAGCTAGGAAGATGTGCCAGGGAAAACTCGAGGCAAGGAGCTAAACAAGGACTGTCATCATTGGACAGAATCTAGAAGCTCCATAATTCAACAGAAAGATTGATTCTAAAATTCTTAAATTACAACTACAAGATTGAGAAAAGCATCTGAAATACTAAACGCCTGGGAATCACTTATGAACAGTTCATATATTTTAAAGATGTAAATCTTGGGAAGAATACCTTATGTTCATGGCAACTGAGATTGGAGGTACTGTGTATTGTAACTCTCAGCCAGAAAAGACAGATAACTATTTTGGCTCATATTACCAGTGATGAGGCTATGTCTAGCACTGATTTTCCACAGATTCTACAATCTTGGCCTATACCAAAACTTTCAGCTTTGTTTTACCATAGATCATTCATCTTGATTTCTTTTTCCCCCCCTTTCATGCATCCTAGGTCACATACTTTACACTGTTAACAGTCTGACTCCTGGACAAGTAAGAAGCCATTTATTTTGTTCAGTACTCCTTTAATATTTCTATTGTGTCTTTTTTTTTTTTTTTCTTCACTGAGTTCCCCAAAGAATAACCTCTTCCTTGCTTTAATAACTTGGACCTCAGTCAAGGTTGATGTGTTTCTCCATTTTGCAGGATATTTTCTTCTGAAGAGACAAAACAGTGTCTAATATTGCAATGACTGATCTTTGAAGCGTACAGTTTAAAGAGGAAATCAAAAACACTTATGGAAAAAAAGAAGTAGGAAATAACCTTTAATAAGAGATGATCGGCAGCAAAGACACTGAGCTGCACACAACTGTAGGGTGTGGGGATCTTCTCTAACCACAAGAGAGCTCCTTGAGATATCTCTTCAGGCTCAATTCTCTCCTTCATTTCTATACAGATGACTTATTAGGCTACTACCTTCTCCCTCTAACCTTCAAACATGGCTTGTGAACGAGCTAGAAGCAGATCCATAATATTTTTTTTTCCTTTATCACACCACAGCACTGTACACAAAGTCCATTCTGAACAAGGTTTTCACATTTGTGGACAACTACATGAAAGCACAGATCTATGTGGGCTTTTCTAGACTTCTCCTGTAGCTCACTGGAGACTGCACGCTGAGAACATCTCAAAGCAAATCGGTGATGCCTACCTTTGGAAGGGGAGTTTTCACAGCCAATTAGCTACTCAGAGCGGAGCAGGCCAAGATCAGAAGGTGGCTCTTTGGCTCCTGGTAGCGATCGCAGATGACACAAGGTGAAGATGCGATAGCGCACCGACCTCGCGGCTCCCGGTCCTACCTCGTGCTCCCCTGGGTGCGTTTCGAGGCCACCTTAACCCGGGGGCACTACTGGAGGCGGCGGGCACCGGCTGCCGAGGGGCCGGGCGCCGGCACCGGCCGCCCCGCCCCGCCCGGCTCACCCCTGCCGGCTCCTTCCCCCCGCCCCGCCCCGCCCCCCGTTCTCGCCCCCCAGCACCGGCCCGGGAGCGGCCCCCCCCCAGCAGCCGCCACCCCGGCGGGGCCCCGCGGCGCCTCGGGGCCTTCCTGCCCGCCCGGCCGCAGGAAGCCCCGCGGGGGAGGCGGGCCGGAGCCTCTTCCCGGCAGGTGGGAGGGCGACAATGGCCGGGAGGAAGGAAGCCGGGAGGCGGCAGGGCCGGGACACAGGACGCAGGGCCTGGCGAAGGGAGGGAAAGGGAGGAGGGATGGTAGGAAGGGGCGACGGCTCGAGGAGGAGAGCGCGGAGGGGCCGCGGCTGCCCCGCGGGGACAGGCCCCAGCCCCGCCCGGGGACCCCCCGGCCCGGCCCCGGCGGAGCCGCTGCCCTCGGCTGGCGCGGAGCCCCGCGGGGGCTGCGCGGGAGAACCGCGCCTCTTAAATACCTGCTGCTTAACTTAACGGGCCTGAGCCAGGCAGCACCCCGAGACCGAACAGGGGTTATTACGAGCCGTTTAAAATCCGCGGGAAACCGTAGACAGGTGACGAGCCGCTGTCGGAACTGCTCGGTGGGGTTTTTTCGTGGTAGTGACCGGGTTGGAGTCGTAAAATACTAGATAAAGTTAGTTCAGTAATACAACTACACTAGGGGAAAAGATTAGAAAAGAATAAAGCGCCTTACCCCTTCAATGTGGATCCCAAGTTCATTTGATTCCATGTCATGCATTCAAGCTGTGAGGTCATTTGGTATAAATTGTCACTGTTGTGAAAATACGTAGAATTAGAACAAAAATTACAACGATCGAGTAAAAATCAGCACGTCAAGATAGCGACATTTTCTCTGTTATTTTTTTTAATATGTAACAGTAGAAAGTTAATTTATCTTACATAATCCCTTATATCGATGTATTATTATAAAAAAAAAAAAAAGTTAAATAAAAGAATGGCTGGGGATTGAAAAGTCTCTTTGAATCTGCAAGCCTAACAACTTGTAAATAGCTGGAAGTGGAGACAGAAAACTTTTTCCTTACAGAAAAGTAATCCGATATTGACATGTTGAAATTCATGAAACGAATATAGGCAGCCTGGCGGGGTAGCGAAGCAGATTATTTGTTTTAAAAAGGCAAATCTGTTAACTGCTTTAACCAGGAGTGCTAGAGACCACGTGGTTAATGGAGTGAAGCCGCTATCGTGACTCATGATGGATGTTACTACACAGAGTGGCTTGACAAGCCGGAGAAAAATGGAGTGGCTGAGCGATAAACGAAGCTCACCGCTGGAACATCTTCTTCCCGCGCCGGTGCACGCCGAAGCCAGCGCGGGCGGCCGCTGCGCACCGCTCGGGAGCGGCCAGCGCGGGCTCCTGCGCGGCCGCGGTAAACGGCGGCGGGGGGGGCGGCCCCGGGTCGGTGCGGGGCCCCGCCGAACCCCCCCCGCCCGCCGGCGAAGCTCTCCCCGCGGGGCCGCAGCGGTGCCGTCGCCCGTGGCGTGTCCCCCCGGGCCGGCTGCGGGGGCTCCCCCGCTCCGGGCTCTACCCAGAGCGCAGCCCCGCGCAGCCTCGCCCGGCGGGAAGGAGGCGGGAGCCCCCGAGCTTTTCAGCCGGGCTCTGTGATTGATGCCGGGGAACCGCCGCTCACAATAAACGCAAGTCTCCCTGTTGATTAATTACACCTAAATTCGCTGGATTTACGCGGGGAATTTATATCATCCTGTTATTAGAAGAGGGTATTTTTTTTCCTTCGTGGCAGGTAGAAGAGACCGAAAAAAGTTAGATTCCAGTGGGAAGCTTTTGCATATAAAAACAAATTAAGTGACTTCAATCTCGAAGTATGCGTAATATCATTTGTCAGTATCACTGGACACTATTATTCATTAGTGTGTCTGAACTGCTATTATGCTACTACAATGTCCTGCATATCAGCTCAGGAATTGTTAAACTCTCCTGCAGTTTCCCCATTTGCAATAGCAGTCCGTGCTGGTCTGTGCCAACTACGTTTTGCAATTCCACGAATTCTTCCTGTAATGCTGCTGTAATTAATTCCTCCAGGACCCTGATTTTTATTAGAAGTGCCCGCCCGATGCATTTACAGCAGGAGATTTCCCTTTAACTTTCTTTCGCTTGACAGTTCATTTATAAGAGCCTCCCCCACAATATCCACTTTTTCCCCTCCTTTGCTTTTTCATAAAGTAATACACTTATTCATCTTGTCACTAGCTCGCAGCCACTGTATTGCATGCCGCCTTTAGGTGACAGTGTCCAAAACGAACCGCTCCCAGACCAGCGCGATGCCCAGCGCCGAGGCGAAGCCGCAGCTCACCGCCTCTCCGTCCCAAGCTCCCCCCTGCCCTCCCCGATTTACAGCCGCGCTGCGCTCCCGGGTTTGCAGCTCCCACAACAGTTTAACGGCGGAGCCCGCGCTGGCTTCAGCCTTTGAAGGGAGCCTGGACTGGTTTTCGGGCAGGCTGGGCGTCCTGCAAAGCTCCCGGAGAAAGAGGGCGAGTGAAACTCCCCTCTTCCTGCTAAATCCCGCTCTGCCGCAGTCGGTCCCTCCAGCTCGGGGCGGCCCCGGGGCACAGACCCGCGGCCCTCGCCGCCCCCCCCCCCCCGCCCCCGTCGCGGCTGCCGTGGGGCAGAAGCCGCAGATGAGAGCCGGGGGGGGGAGCAGGGGCCGGCCCTCCACGCCAGCCCGGTTCAGCACCCCACGCCAGCCCAGCTCGGACCCCACGCCAGCTCGGTTCAGCACCCCACGCCAGCCCGGGTCAGCCCCCCACGCCAGCCCGGTTCAGCCCCTCCACGCCAGCCCGGGCCGCCCCCTCGGCGCCGGAACCGAGTGGGGCCGCGTTTCAGCTGCGCGATCTGGGGAGAAGTTTTGAGTTGAGGCCCTGAGAGCCGATTCCCGCGGGATGCGCTGCGCTCTCTCGGCATGCCCCGGGTGGGCTATGCCCCGGCAGCAGGGTGCCCACGGAGGGACACCCCCACACCCTTCACACGGGCTGCAGAGGGGGTCTGCATGATCTCTGCTGCCGGCTGTGGCCAAGGGGAGAAATTTACTTTCTGTGGAGCTGCTGAGCCCACGACCCGGAGCGGTTTCCATCTCGGAAAAGCCGGGACTGCCCAAGGTTTGCCCAAAGCCCCAGGGGGGGCAGGTGGGCACCACCGGGCCCCGCGCCCCAGCGAGCCCGGACCAGGAACGGCCGCGCCGGCCGCCGTTTGCCCGGGGGCCACCGGGCACCGACCTGACACGGGATGGACACATCTTGTATCTGCCATGTGACAGAGCACAGGCCATCCCTAACTTAAATTTACGCCTCGCTGCGGTCTATTATTGACAGTACCGTGAGATGATCTCATGGAATTAACAGCTCCTCTCAAAAGCTCGGGTTTGGATGAGGTTTGAATGATGAGAAGGAAAGCGGGGTCTCCGGGGATATGCCTGCACTGATTTCAATCTGAATCCTTGGCCCTCCAAACGGCCACAAAGAAGACACTAAAAATAACTTATTTTCATTACAGAGATGCTTTTAACGAGAAACGAGAGGAAGGGGGGGGGAACGTTTCTACAACGGGGATTAATGTAAATTGGAGTGGAATAAAAGGAAGTCAACGCTGAGCAAAAAGGGAACTTAAAAGGAAACCAGTAGTAGATCATATAGAGTTTGTTTTGGCCTGCATTGCAGTATTACCGAGTTCTTGACCTCTGCACAGAAAGAGCTATAATCTGAACCGAGACTCCTCCACTTTTAAAGTCTTTGTAAGTGTGACTCACAGTAAATTTTCAACGTCGAGCATGTTTACTACATTAAACAGCGCGAGGTAGAAAAGTTCACATCACCATTTTAATGGACCCACAAATGCTAGTCATCTAATGCATACTTGCAATCTGTGCGGGTTTGTCATCCATGTCCAGCTATCAACAACAGGCGCAGTGTTCCTTGGCAGAGGAGCGGGGCTGCGCTATAAACAGAGAGCAAGTAGTTGCCGAGGCGAGAGATTTCAGAGATACTTTTGCTTCCAGTAAAAGAATTACGATCTTCTAACCATTCCTTTCGAGCAGTCGCCTTCCCGACTGCTTTGCCTCGGTGCGAGAGAGAAGACAAACGCTCTCACGGCCGTTCGCCACTCGGGGCGGCTCCCCGCGGGTCAGGCGGGGAGCGGAGAAGCCGGGAGCGGCTTCATGAGGGTCTCTTGCACCCGGCTGGTGAGACGGCGAGGAGGGGGAAGAGAGCATCAGGTGGAGGCGGTTCACTCCTGCATCTCCCCGCGGCTGCTTGCCCGCTCGCCCTCCGCTCGCGGAAGGATTGCCCCGTGGGTCTCGGCCCGGCGTAGCAGAGCCGGGGCGGGGGATGGCGGAGGGACGGAGCCCGGCGGGCGGCTGCAAAGGCCGGGCGGACCCGAAGCCTGGGCCGGGGGGGTGGGCGAGGGACCACAGACGACGCCCGGGCGCTACTCGAACGTCCCGGGGAGGTGCGAAGGAGAGGCGGCGCGGGGCGAACACCGGCCGGGGAGCGGCACCACCTCTCGCTCCCGAGCTCGGTTCCTCCGCCGCCTTGACTCTCGCTAAAGGCGAGCGGGAGCGCCTGCTGTCCTCGGACAGTGCCAGGAGCGACAGACGCGGCGAACCCTGCGTCCCCGCTGCGCGCTCCGCGCAACGGCCGCCATGCGCGCACGGAGGTGCGCAGCGGGAGCGGGCGTGGCCGTGGACAGCCCCACTGCCCCGTCCCTGCCACCCCCGGCGTTCAGATGCCACAACAGAGACATCAGTTGTCAAAGCAGAGCTGGCAAACTTGACCTGAACTGGGAAAAGCAGAACAAACCTTGGCGAAGGAAATACGGAATAACCACGGTCTTAAAAAATAGTAATAATAAAGATTCTGCCGGATCAATATGAATATTGACCAAGGCAGTGCGGTCCGTTTTCAGGCTGTCGCAAATACGGCTGATGAGTCACGCCCGTGCGTTTCTGCACGGCAACTAGTCACCCATTATCTAGGAAGAGTACTCGTGTAGTAGGAACATCGGGTTTTCCAGATGCTTTTGAACATGTGCAGGAGGGGATGAGGCGAGGCCGCACCGAGCTCACCCTCCTGTTCGGGCGTAGGTGCTGGAACAGGCAGGACCTGCCCCCGACATGAACAAGCTCTGCCCTGATTTACACCCCCGCACGTTACTATTAGCTCCTGGGAGGTTTAAGGGCTAAAATTCTTATCCTATCGAAGAAAGCAGTAAGCCTCTCGGGGAGCAGAGTAGGATCAAGGCTAAAGTCGGGAAGAGAGCGGCCCCGCGGCGCAGCGCTGCCCACTCGCGAGGGGGTCGGGGCCCGAAGCGCTGGGCGGGAGGTGGCCGCATTCGGGCGGTGCTCGCCCCTCCCCGGTGCCACCTCGTCAGGGGCACACGGAGGAGAGACAGCTCTCGGCACAAGCAGCGGTTTCCTACCCGGGCTCGCATCTCCCAGGCCCGGGCTCGCTCCGCCGGCCGTACAGGGGAGCACAAACGCCGCAGGAGCGACCGGCCGCGGTGCCGCCGCCGGGAGCCCGGACACGGGAGCGGGGCGGCGGGGCGGGCGGGGCCGGGCAGAGCGGCGGCTCGGAGCTGCCCTCCCCAGGCCTCCCTACAAACCATATTTATAGATTTCCCTGCGAGGCGAGCAATCTCTGTCACTTCAGCGCAGGAGTTCGCCCCGCCAATTATTCTGCAAAGCTAATCTCTCTGGATAGGCTTCTTTCCTTCCTTCATTACCTCATTCCCTCCTTCCCTTGACGTCAACTCACTTTCATTAGCGAAGTGGCTTCTGGAAGTGACAGAATTTTGTTGTCCCACGTCCAGTGTTGATTAATCAGAGATGATATAACCGGCCTACAAGAGGAGCCGCTCGTGGCTTCCTTCGCGGAGGCACATTGTTTTGTGTGCTAGAGTTACTTAGCAACTCCGAGATACGGGACTGGCTCCAAGTTCACAAAAAGTTGAAGAATAAATTTTGGGGAACTTCTTTGCTCACTAAACACGTTGTAAAACTGCAGGAGACACGCCCAGCCCCCATGCCAGACCAAAGAAAACGGGAAGGCGCGCTTGCAACGGACCCGTCTGTTGGCAAAGAGAGTTCGTGCTTGCAGCAAAGCTCCAGATGCACCTTTCTCCCAGCCAGGAAATCCGATAGGTTCATTGCCCTGTTTTCAATAAATAACCTCCCTGCAGGCCAGTCCCCGTCGCTCCTGAGAGCCATCGGAAGGGCTCTTGGTCTGCAAGACGAAGCCCCTGGACGGAGCTGAGGTTTAATTGCCCGTACCACGCTCTGCCCATCGCTGCTGCTCACCAGCGGCCGCTCCCACATCTTCCCTGGGGGAAGGAAGAGCGGCTGCGGGGATTCCCAGCGCCGGGAGCGGGGAGAAGGCGCAGGGGCAGGGCCGGAGCGGGCCGGCTCCGCTCTGCAGCCTGCGCCGGGGCGGAGGGGCCAGGCGCAGAGCGGGGGTGGCGGGGACGGCGCTGGGGATGCTCGGGAGCAGGGTTTGGGCCGCGCTCCGCAGGCGGGGCCCTGAAGCCTGGGGCTCTGCTGGGCTGGCCCCGGCACTTCCCCCCCCGGCGCGGATGAGGGCAAAGCCCAAACCCCTCGCCCCAGCGGGCTCCGGGACGGGCGTGCTCCAAGGAGGCCGGGTAGCTCGGCTCCCGCTTCCCAGAGCCGGAGGCACCTGCCGCCCGAGAGCGGCTCCCCCGAGGCGGCAGCGCAGCGCCGAGCCCCGCGGGGGATGCGCGGCCAGCGCCGAGCCCCGCCGCCACCCCCACAGACCCCGGCCCGGGAAATCTCCGAGACACGGTGAAGCCTGGGCCGGAGGGCGAGGTGCCTTTTTTGGTTTTGTGATTTTTTTTTTTCTGTCTTTATTCGTTTTGGGGTTTGTTGTGTTTTGGGTTTGGGTTTTTTTTTTTTTTTTTGTTGGTTGTTTTTTTAACGTGTTTTTTTTGGTTTTTTTTTTTTTTGAGAAAGGGAAAAATAAATCTGTTTCCTTTCAGAAAGGAGAAAGGTGTTGGAACGGCATGCGGGGGGAGAGACCACATCCGAGCAACAACCCGCGCAAAAGGAGGCGAGGCGAGGCAAGGCAAAGCTCCCTGCCGCGGAGGTACCTGTTGTAGGGGGTCCGGAGGAGCAGGGCCTGGCTGCCCGTGCAGCTGTCGGTGGGGGTGTGACAGCCGTACACCGGGGGAGGCACCGAGTACTGCTGGTCCCCTGCGGAGAAAGCGGCCAAGAGTTAATCCCTGCGACGACCGGCCGCTCCCGCTCCCCGCCCGGCGCTGCAGAGGGGCTGCAGGGCCCCGTCCTCCAGCCTTTGGGCAGCTCTAGCTCTGTGCCAGGCCTGCGGGGTGTGGGCAGCGGCGCCACTCCGGAGCCACTCCGGATTGCCAGCCGGCCGCCAGCGCCTTTCGAGACGGGTCCCCGCGACCGGGAGCGCGGTCCGCACCCCGCGGAGGCTGAAATTACCGAGCGAGGGCTGCTGGCTGATGGGATCCTCGTGTTTGAAGGAGTGGTTCGTAAACTGCGCGGCGTGGTGAGACGGCGTGTGGCCGTAGCTCGGGGTCCCGTCAAACGCCACGGTGCTGTAACCTGCCGAAGAGACCACAGCGGGGTTAGGAGGAGCCTTGAGCCCGCTCGGCCACCGGCTTCCCGCGAAGCCTCTCCGAGCACGCGTCGAACGAGAGGAGCCCACGCGCGGCCGAGCGCCTCAGGCTCCCACCGCCACGCGCTGCCGAAATACTTCGCATTTAGCGCACCGTGTTGATCTTCCCGCGGTGCTGCTGCCCACGGTGGAGAAAAAGACAGGCAAGGCTGTGCCCTTGCGTTCACTCTCCCACCGCACACGCACCTCTCAAGGCTGCGGGCGCAGGGCGGCGTGGGGGGGGACCCCCGTGGGACCCCCGTGTGACCCCCCCGCCGCGGGGAGAGGCGCGCCGGGCAGACCGCTCCCAGGGGCGAAAAGTCGGAAGTCTCGTTCGTGTTTAAAGAGAACAGATCGGCTTCGGTAATAAAAAGGATGTTTTCATTAATTGTTGCTCATATTAAAGAGGAAGATTCCCATCTGCTCGGTGTACTCCTCTGCCGTTTCCAATTTAGAAGTTACCCTTTAATCTTTTTTTTTTTTTTTTTTTTTTTTTTTTTTTTTTAAGAGCAGCTTTCTGAAGAGTCTGCAATAAAGAGGCGGAATGTTACATGAAAAAATAAAACTCCTCCTTTCAGCGAAAATTGCTCTCCAAAATAATAAACAGCCTATTTTGTTTCCTACACCGAGCAGATTCAGATGGAAAGAGACCACCTCTGCTGACCCCGGGCCGACACGAAATCGTAAATCAGGTGCTTGGACACCAACTTTCATTAACGACTTGGAGCTGGCTAAACAACTTCAGCTAAAAAAGTAATTACAAAGTAATATTATCTCAGAGGCTTCTCGGCTCATCAGCATTTATCCCAAGAACCGAGCTCCTTCGAGAGTCACCCTTCCAAAAAAAAAAAAAACAAAACAAAACAAAAAGTCTGACGCGGGCTGGGAAAAGAAACCAAAGCGACGACGAGCACTCCGTCCCTCACACCCCTTTCTCCTAACCCGCTTATTCCAGCACGGGCACCCCCACAGCCCCCGCCTGGACGTGCCGTGTGGCCGCGGGTGGGTTTGTTAGCCGAGGGGGAGCACTCGGGGCTGTTTTCAGTCTCCTCGCTCCGATCCCCTCGGTGCCGGGTGCTCGGCGCTGTGGAGGGCTCTGCCTCACCACCGCCGATCGATAACCACGGGGGGTTCAAAGAGAATAAAATGTAAAGGCAACAAAGGGATCCGGTTGTTGCTTCTCCATTTTACTCTCTCTGCAGACAGTCTGGATCCAGCGACATTACAGGACTTAATTAAGCTGTGGGGTGGTGCGGGAGAAATTAAGGCAGCAATGACGAGGGAAAAAAAAAAATCCAGAAGACTTTGAAACCTTCACCTTCGTGATGATTTTAAGCCGACCCTGAGTCTGCGGGTCTGGAATAGAAGTCGGCCGGCCAAATCTCCCTCACATCCCCCTCGCCCCAGGAGCAGAGCTCCTTTCGCGGCGATGCGAGCAGCGTTAATAGGCCGGTACCTTACGGGCTCCCATCCCACAGCTGTTTCTCGCTCCTTATCTCCTCCCTTAGCCCTCAGGGTAGAGGCTCAACCTTCAACTCCCTTTCCCCATTTCCCTCTGCCTCTTTTTTAATTTCCAGAAAACACTGACACTTTCTACGTTACTTTTGGCCCGACACAGACTTGCGGTGACCTTCAAAACTCAGTTCGGAGCAGGACGAGGTTTTGGCCGCATTTTCCGGTGTTGCCTGACCCAAAGCTTCAGGAATGTGATAAGAAAGTTGAGTTCTGAACCAAGCTGCCGATAGTGAGGTCTCTTTAATTAGGGCGTTATCAGAGCCAGGCCTGATTAAGATGTGCTGAAAATAATTGAAAGTTGTACATCTGCTGGAGAACGGGGCCCGCTGGAGGCATCCAGTTGTTGGAGGAGCCCAGCTGGATGGAATAGACAGGCGAACGAGAAGAGGAAAATTGGGCAGAGGTTTCAAAGCTTTAGTTCCCTAACCCCCACCCCATCCTAGACTTGGCAGAAATGTCATCGCAGAGCCAAGGTAACGTCTTTCCCACGGTCGGAGGAACCGGCTAAAAAAAAAAAAAAAAAAAAAAAAAGAAGGCAGATCAACCTTGAGGAGAGCCAAAGCAATAACATTTTATCCATCCACGAAAAAAAAAAAAAAAAAAGCGGCACGGCAAACACCACTTGTCGAATTCCTCCCTGCCGAAGGGGCTCGCTGCGTGTCGCCGAAAATAGCTGTGGCTAACCCCCAGGGCTGCCCGTGTGGGGAGGCAGCCCCGAGCAGAAGGGACACCCCCCACGCCCCCGCGGGCGCAGAGCACGGGAGGGAGCCGGGACACGGCCCAAGCTCCCCTTCCTCCAGGCTCTGGCGGGGCCGGGCCGTGCAGAGCCGTGAGCCCGCGGGCCCCGGGCACTCACAGGCGGGGGTGTGCGGCGCTTGCACCGCCCGCAGCGCGCCGGAGACCCAGTACAGCCCCGTACGAGCCTCGAGTTTGGGCGCCTTACACGCTCCCTTCCTCTTCGGGGCGGTTAAACTCAGACGACAGGATGGCGCGAGGTCGCAGCTACTTTGTCCCTCATCCACTCTCTCATGCACCCAGGGCCGAGTTGAATTCCCTCCACCCTCCACTCCATCTTCTCATCGCTATTTCGGCCCTGCAATGATAAATCCCCCCCCCTGTCTAAAATCCTTTAGGATGTCTTTAAAAAATCCCCGGCAGAGCTCCCGGGCCCAGCGTGCTCTGTGTTGGAGCGGGAGCGGCCGAACCTCTCCCCCAGCTCCCGGGATGCCGCCTGGTTTTCCCAGCCGGTCCCGCCACCCCGCTCCGCCGTGTCCGACGCTAGAGCCGGGCGCTGGGCGGGCAGGGGGGGCCGGGCCCGGAGGCAGCAGAGAGGGGGCAGCGGGACCGCGACCCGGCAGTGCCCGCGGGAGCCCCGTGCGCGGCCGCGCTGCCGAACAACCACTTCCCCTGCGCCGCCATCGCCTCCCCGTGCTGCAAACATCGCCCCGGGCCGCCTCGCCGGGCCCGGCCCACCCCTCGGCGACCAGCAGAGTCCTCCCGTCCGGCCTCGGCCTCCGCTCCGGCCCCTCTCCCTGCCTCCCTTCGCCAGCCGTCAGAGCGCCGGGGACAGCCCGAATTCTCCCGGGCGGTCCCCCCCTCCCCACTCCCCTCTGGGGGGGACGTGGTTGCCCTCGCGGCGCACAGCAAGCCCGAGCTGCGGGCTGGCCTCAGGGGACCCCGTGCCAATAGCGGCGAGATCCCGGCGATTCCTCCCGCTCCGGCCGCGCCGCGCACCCTCCGCCACTCTCCCACACCCCGAGGCTCGGGGCCGCGACGGCCCGATCCCCCCCTCCCCCGCCGGCCGGGACCCCCGACGCTTCGCCCGGGGCCGGGGAGTGCGGGGCAGGCGCTCGACAACCAGCGCCTCAGGACCAGCTGAAGGAGAGGGAACAAGACCCGAAAGGTTTCGGGCAAGCTCTCCGCACGCTCGCCCCCTTTCCCTTCTTCCTCGCTTTTGCACCAACAGATGTTTATACTGCAGCCACTGGAAGAAAAGCGATTAGATGATCATCTCGGTGCCACACGCAGGGGATGACCCATCGCTCGGGCGTGCAGCCCACGGGAATTTCCCAGGGCCAGTACAAAGAGCAGCGTGTCCTGGCCACGGAGATGCTGAAAAGAAAGTACGAGGCGCCCTCGTTTGTGTACCCCGGCCTGGGGGCATTCAGCGCTCGATACGGGGCTGCGGTTTTCGGATTCAGGAGGAGGTTTGGAGCTACACCCACACCCAAAGATTTGTAGAGGGAGTTGTCTCGGGGCACCGGCCCCATCTCCATTCCAGGACTTGCGCCGTCCCCGGCCCGAACAAACCTCTGCGAGGCGAGAGGCTGCTGCAAGCCGGGGAGGGGGCGGGGGGGCCCATTGCGCCTGGCAGAGCCGCCCGCTGCAGCCCGCTGCCGCGCAGGAGGGGTGAGGGCAAGCAGCTCGTGGCTCCCAAAACTCCCCGGAGCGACGTGGCTGCCGCGCAGGGAGGGAAAGGAGCCACGGAAGGGCCAGCTCGCCCAACCCTGCCCGGCGGCTGCAGAGAGAAAGGATGGGCTTGGTGTTTACATCCAGTGCGGCCCGGCAAGGCTGAGCGGACGCCTCCGGGGGCCGCACCCCCGAGCCCGGGCCGCCCGGCAGCGCTGCCCTTACCCTGGTTGCGGATCGCTTGCTGGCCCTCCAGGCAGTTGGGCAGGTAGGGCCCGTTGGGGAACATCCTGGCCTGGCCGGAGGGCGGCTGGCTGGGCGGCGGGGCGCCGAAGGGCCCGTAGCGGCAAGCACCGGCCGTGCCCGTGAACTGGCCGGAGAAGTGGACGGTGAAGGCGCTCAGGTATTGCTCCTCGTGCGGGTCCGACCCGTTCCAGCTCGGCTCCTGCTTGATGAAGGAGTGCGGCCCCAGCGAGCCGTAGGAGGCCCCCGGGGGGAAGTCCAGGACGGGAGCCCACTGCGCCGCGCTGCTCACCGGCATGGCGCAGTTGCCGTTGCCCGGCAGGGAGGGCACGGAGGGCAGCAGCGCGTTGAGGTCGCGGACATCGGAGCCCATCTGCTCGCAGACCTTCTGCCTGCCGCCGGGCAGCCAGTCTCCCCCCGGGCCGCACTTGTTCCAGGACACCTGGCCCCTGCCCGCCAAGCCGGAGGCCGGCTCCGGCTGCAGGCACCAGGCTGGCGAGCTCAGCCCTTTGGGGGACGTTTGCTCCGCGACGCAGCTCCCCGGGTCCAGCCCTGCGGGAGCCGGCAGCAGCGACAGGGAAAGGTTGTTCTCCAGGATCGCCTCCGGGCTCGCACCCGCTCGCAGCGCAGGGCAGGGCGGGGTGTACGTGTGTCTGTGTGTCCGCGTGTGTGTGTGTCCTGTGCGTGTGTCCGTCTGTCCGCGGTAGGGGGGCACAGCCGCCTCGCACGCCTCACCTCGGATGCCTGCTCCCCCTCAACTTTGCAAAGCTCAAATAGAGGCGCTTGCAGGGGAGGAGGAGTCAGCCACGCCGATCCTCCATTCACACAACCTCCGCTGAGGGGCTGCCCACAGCCCGCTCTGCTGAACCCAGCCGGACCAGACACGCGGGGGGAGGGAGGGGGACGAGGAGAGCCGGGGATGGAGGGGGAGAGGTTACTGTGGGAGAATATATCTCCCCTACGCATCACTCCCACCCTTCTTCTGGTGCAAGCGCCACTAAATCTCACCCTAACGTCCCTTCGCTTTAGGAGATACTTGCGAGACTGTTAGAGGGATCCAGGTGGCCAGTAAGTACGTGCTGGACGACTTCCCCCGCCAGCTCCGTGCATGCCCGTGGGGACTCCCGAGGGCGGCGGGGTCGCAGGCTCTGGGGACGGTGCAGAGGAGCCTCCACCCTCGCAGGGGCCGGGGGAAGTGACTCAGCCCGGGGCGAGCGGATCCCCTCCTTGCGAGGCGAAAGCGTCTTTCCAGGTGCCTCTCCCGCTACGGGAGGAACCCGTGTCTCCCCGAGCTCCTGTGGGATCCGGGCTGCCTGCCCGAGCCCCCGGCCCCGCACCCCCGGCACTCCCTGGCCCTGGGCAGGGTACCGAGGGCTCCGCCAGCGAGGGGAGCGGGGGGGAGGGCGCCCTTTGCGAGAGGACCGGAGCGGGCGTGGGCCCGGGCCCGGCCCTCCGACCTGCCCGTGTGTGAGGGGGGAGGAAGCGCCTGGGCAGGCGGGGCAGGATCGCAGCGCTGTAAGTAACCTGCTTTTGGGGGAGTCACCTAGCACTGCTCCTGGGGAGCCCCGGGGTCTCTCTTCCCTCCCCAGCCTCCTGGACAGCAGCTCCCCAGCGGGCATCCCGGGAGCGGCGGCGAGAGACCCCCCGATGGCATCTCAGACATTATCCCCGGACGGTCCTTCCAGGCGACACGGCGGGTTTCGGGTCAGCCCTGGCAGCGAGGGATGCCACGAAGTCGGTGGTGCGGGACCGGCAGGAAGCCCTGGCGCGGGCGGTAGAGCCCCGCGGGACGTGGCGGTAGCCGCCGCGGCCAGGAGCCTGCGGGAACCCGGGGCAGAGGCGAGCCCGCAGCCTCTCCTGCGGGAGACGCTCTCACCAAACGCGAGAAGAGGGCTCCTGCCGTCTCCCTTCAAAACTACTAATTAATAATCACCCGGGAGCGGGGGAGGGGAGGGAGGATTAGCTTCTACGAGCACGCGTGGGACAGCTCCTGGGAGCTGCGCGCCGATGCAGTGTAGTGGCAGAGGATGCGGGGGAAGCTCCGCGACCCGCGGGCCCCGGCCCTTGCGCATCTTCACCGGCCGCGCTCAAAACCGCAAACGGCGCGTGGGGCCGTGGCTCGGCACAGCCCAGCAGAGCACCGCCGCCTCCCCCCGGCCGCCTCCCCCTCCCCTGGCAGCTAAAATAATAAAAGAAACGCCACGAACATTTACCTGCTTCTGGAAAGATAGAGCCCGTTGTCTTCCCGGTGACAATTTACACTTCGGTATTTTCTTCCCTCCGCGGCATTAAAGGTTACCGCAAGCATGGCCAATCTTGAAACGATGTTTTAAAAGTCAAAGGGTAAATGCTACAACAAAAGAAATTACAGTAGGTGGTTATTAGAATAGCCAAGTATAATTTCATTTTCTCTTTAAACTCTTTAACCAAAACAGCCGGTTTCGTAATTAGTAAATTAACTTTCACAAACTATCTTCGAATAATTCCCTTTTTAAACGTCTCTTTTGATGGGTAAGTCTATTTATTACGGAAACCTACGTGTAACGTAAGAGCGAAAGATTTGTTGATTATCTTTGCCGATATTAAAGATCGTCTAAGCTTGCAGAATCTGACGCTTCTTATGGGTACACACAAAACTAACCCACTCGCGGACGGCAATTGTGAACGCAGACCATGCCCGGGCAGGGGGCGACCGCTGCCCTTGCCGACACCGCCGGCCCCCCGGCCTTGCTCCCGCTCGGATCCCCCCGCCCGCCTCGGGGCTCCCCCCCACCCCGCCTCGGGGCTCCAGCCAGCGCACCCCCCTGTACCCGCAGGGGCCTGGCGGGGCCACGGGGAAGTGCAGAATCGGGAGCGGGGCTGCCGCTGGGTTTGATCCTTTCTGGGGCGGACCGACACCTGTGGTCTGTCCCTTTCATCTCCGTCTCTAAAATGGACAGCGTACATTCAGAAAAAAAGAAGTCTTTGGCCAACCTAAGCGGAGTGTTTAATTTCCCGGTAAAACTAGACCTCCCTTGGTAAAAACAAAAAACAAAACAAAAAAAGCCTTTTCCCGCAGCGTACTATTTTTCGAACTAGTGTGGTTTTGGTTTTTTTGTTTTGTTTTGTTTTGTTTGTTTGGTTTTTTTTATTTTCTTGAAATAACCTAGCTTGATCACTCTTCTCGAAAGATGTTTTCTTCACCGCTTAGGTCTGCGCTATTGCACCTGGGAGGAAGAGCTGCCGAAGTCCTTCCAAATCATCGCCTCTCTCGCACTTCCCAGCGGTGAGAGCAGACGACGCCCCGGCCGGCAGCGCCTCTGTCTCCCCGCGGGGCCGGCAGCGCGGCGGGGGACCGCAGCGCCGGGCGCGGCTGCCTCAGCGCAGCCAGCGCGGCCGCGGCCCGGGGATGGCCCGGGGGAGAGCCCCAGCGGTACAGCCCGAGGAGGAGGAGGAGGAGGGAAACCCGGACCCTTCTCCCCCGGGACGGGCTGGGGACTTTTGGGAAACGGCCAGCGCCACTTTCCGCAGCCGTTCCCCAGAGCCAGCACCAGGGAGAGAGAAAAATCTCCCGCCCCGCACTTTTGCAGCCCAGGCCGGGAGCGCGGGCAGCAGGTCCCCTCGGAGCGCCCCGGCATGCCGAGAGGAGCTGTTCCCTCCGTGCGGGGGACATTCGCTCGCCTCGTCCCTGGAGATCCCGACCCCGGTTTCAGTCGCACTCCAGCGTAAATCACCCCACGCCCCGCAAACCGGGCGCCCGCGTCCGGGCCTCGGGGCCAGCCGAAAGCTATGGCCGGAGAGATGGCAGTTCAGGGACAGCATCTCCCCTGCCCGTGTCCGGACCCAGGAGCTCCGGAACCTTTTGTCCTCTCCCCTCCAAACGCGGCCCAGTCCAAATCTCTGCCAGGCAGCAATCAGGCTTGTTTCGCCCGTTATTCCATTGCTATGGCAATTCCTGATAATTCTCAATCTTCGATTGTGCTCGAAGGCATACTCCACAAGATTAAACAATTGATATTTTCTGGACGAGGATTATTCTACTCAGAGTCACGCTCGATCCCGGGCAAAACGGACTCGGGAACCTGCTCCAGCCAGAGCAGCACTGAGGCACCTCCCCAGCCGGCGTTATGCCGTTCCGCTTTCTCCCCTGCCACGCAAACCAGCTATGGGACTGGCAATTCCTACTACACTTTCCTAAACTCGTAAATGATCCCCTCACGATTCAGAGGTGGGGGAAGCTGACTTAAACAGAGATAAATCCCCAGCCCTTCCAATCCTGCTCACGCCGCTCACAGGACGCAGGGGGGATCTGTCTCCCTTCACTCAGGGAGCCGATCAGAGTTTGATTATTTAAATGCCAAGAGCAGCAGGAACAAAGCTGCGAAGCACCCCCAGGAGCGCAGGGCGCAGAGGGGCAGGCACTCCGCACGGCGGGTCCCATCCTGCATTCCTCGCTGCCTCCCCGCGCCCCGCCGAGCGCTGCGGGCACCCCCGGGAGTCCCCGGTGAGGCGGGACCAGCCTTTCCTGCCCGGACTGACGGGGGCACGGGCACACTTTCGAGCTGAGAAGATGTTTTGTTTATCCTTTGAGAGGAAAAAAGCCCTTTTTTTTGATGACACAAGGTGCGTGCCGTCTCCCCGGCTCTCCTCTGAGCGGAGCAGGGCAGGGGCGGCCCGGGCGCTAAGGTCCCTCCGAGGCCTGGCACAGCCCTTCGGTGCCGCAGGACCCCTGCCGCCCCCTCCGCCCCGGCTCCTTCCCCCGCCCCGCCGGCCCCAGCGCTCGGGGGGACGGCCCGGGGCTCCGCCAGCGCCTCCGCTCCCCGCCGGCAGCGCGGCCCCGGGCCCCCCCCTCCGCGGGCCCGGCACCGGGCGGAGCTCACCGGGGCGGCCCCGACCGCCGATGCGGCGGCGGAGCGCGGAGGGCCGGGCCCGGCCGGTCGGCCGGCGGGGCTCAGGCCATTATTTTACCGTAAATCTTGGAAACGCTGGAACTAATTACGGAGAGGATATGTCTCAATTTGTTCCGCATTAGCGCCGCGCCGGGCCGCAGGCACCGAGCACGGGAAATTGATGGGGCCGGCCCGGCCCCGCGGCGCCCCGCCGGGCCCGGGCCCGAGCCGCGGCCCTGACCCCGCGTTCAACCCGGGAGCGGCCCGGGGGGCGGCCGCGCTCCGCCTCCCGCACCTGCGGGGCCCCCCCGGCCGTGCCCGCTGCAGCGCCCGGGCGGTGCGAGGTGCGCTCAAGCCAAGTCCGAGGTACGGCGGGGGCTCTGCTGAATTTATTGGCGCACGGCTAAGACGAGGCTCGGTATAAATCACGGAGCTGTATAGGGCCATAAAGTATCCCTATGTATCCTGCCCTCGCCGGGGCTCTGGTGAATAGGAGTTCACAGAAAGCTGGGTATCGGTAACATCTCTCAGATCTGGCGTATGTGACATTTTAAAAGTCTTAGATATACAACGGGATATACTTACGGGGCCGCTAAAACTATTATATAGAATTTTTATAGGTATATGGTACTCACATACAAAAGGAACTGGGGGAAAAAAAAGCTTAGGTAATACACTCGGTTCTTGACATTATCTCTAACGGTTTTGTAAGTAATAAAATTATTATTTTGGGAGGGTAAAAAATATTCTAAAACTTAGTACATTATAAATGGATGTATGGTAACTGAGATCTAAGGAATTAATTTCTCCCTGGTTGTAGAATGCAGATCCCACTATAAAGTCTTACTGAACTTTAAATGTAATAATCAGTAACAATTTCTGTCATGGATACAGATCCGAAGAATTATTTGAGCCACCTGTAACACCATCGCTGAACACACCAGAAATGTAAACCAAACATTCATACATGCAAAACTTTTAGGAAAGCTCTGGTTGGAGCAGACCTGCTGCCCCCAGCCACACGCTGCGGTATTTCTGCTACCTCACGGGTTTGGATAGGCAGTTTGTAACTGATGCCACCAGCAGCCTCAGGTCTCACTGACTGTTGGGTATTCCAGGTCCGCGACAGAAGATGAATTGCCCTTCAGCCGTTTCTCCTGTAGATTGGCTATGAACACGTTTTCATAAACACTAACCACCCGTGCCTCTGTCTTTCAACTTAATTCTTGAACAAACACACTTTAACAATGCAAGCAAAGTACCAAACTCACTTTGTTCTTGCAAAGCCCTTTTGCAGCCCTGTGCAAAGATACTCTAGACCAGTCCTCCTCAGTGGGAAAGTAGTGGGGCTCCTGTGAGTCTGGTCTGCCTTACCTTAGCTGAGGATCTAAAGCCCTTTTCACAGGATTTTGTTCTCATCCTACACACTTTAGAGGAATTCATACATGTAAGCACCTAAGAGTGCTTCAGAGCAAGAGTGGTCTCACTGGAATCAGGACTTCAGCCCACCAGGGTCTAACTCCTCACACCACGCAGTAGGGAGAGCCAAGCGTATCCTCTTTGCGTACAGATGTTCACTGAGTGCAGAAGACAAGTAGTGAGGACAATGTGCCTAGTGCCTAGAGCAGATGAAGAACAAGAGCTCCTGGGTTCTGTTCAATGCCTTCTGCATGCTCTGGAGAAACAGAAGAGGTGACAGTAGTTTGCCAGAACACTGGGGGACTCCAGCAGTATCTGTGGAGCACTTGGAGACCTTGGGTAAGCGAAGAAATGCAGATGGTTGTTGCATTAGGCAGCACAGCTCCGTGTGATCTGCCAGTGATGGGACCTGTGAGGGGGTGGCAGGGCTGGAGCTGGAGAGATCTTGCAACACAGCCAGTCCCTGTTCCCAGCACAGCACATGCCAACGGCTCCTTCACAGACTGGGGAGATATTCCACTGACCTCAACAGCCCCCCCACCCCGGCACAGCCCTTTAGCTTTGTTAGAAACTGAGCATACTCAATCCTTCATTTAACTGCAGATACAAAGGTACGTGTCTCTTTTCTCTCTCTGGACTATATGTACTGATACGCGTGGATTGCAGCAATACACAAAAGGCAAACAAGCTCATTTTTCTCATCTAGTTGGCTGGAAGCAACAAGCAGCAAAAATGTAGCTCCAACCAAAACAAGAGCCTTCCCAGTTCTTTACTCTGAGGCTCCCCACTCAGTATATTTTTTCCTTCAAAACCAAAGCTTTACAGCCAGTCTCTCCTTTGTGTATGTATCACATGCTGCTGCGTGGGATATCTGGTCTGTCCACGAGGGTGAACGGTCATCTGAAAACTCCATGGCTTCAGGGCCTCAGCCCAAAGAGATCTGCTGCAAGCAGGGACAGAAGTCCTGGTGCCCTCCACCGAATTGAAAACAACCTAACTGGCTGTGCAGGTGCCTGCAGGGTTCTCACCCACCAGCACGCTGCTGCAGGACTGGCTGTTTTCACATTTGTGACTGTCACTGTTGAGTAGCAGCCTCTGGTGACCCTACTGCCACCAACAGACTCATCTGGCAAAGTTCACGCTGAGAGTGAGCTACGCAGGGACAGTTAGAGACAAAGCTTGCAGTGAGAGGTGGGTGAAGAAAGGAGAGGAGGGAGGGACCCCATGAGTTGAACTTGCCTTAGAAGTCAAATTTCTTCTTTGTGAGATACAGGAGATTCCTTTCCCTTCAGATTTTATGTATGTTTGATTCCACTAAATTCACCTGAGTACTGCTATGACATGAGTTAAAAGCACCGAGAGTTCGCTGTAGCCATTGAGTCAGGGACTCAGGCTGATCAAAACTATCACTTGTTTTTCCTTCCTATTACATGAAAACAGGGTTCAATGAAGTTCAGATCGGAACTAAGACCTACTTTTGTGATGTCTTGATGAACCTTTCTTGAAATACTTAACATGCTAGTTGAAAAGAAAGAAGCACAAAGAAACCCTGTCAACTTGTTATTTATGTTTTTTTTAAATGAAACAATGAAAGGAACAACTAAGTAAGTGTGATTCCATTCTCTGGACTGCTCTATCATAGATTAATAGCTCTATGAACAGATTTGCAAGTAGCACCATCATGCTAATCAAGATATTAAAAAGTTTATGAGCAGTTGCTTAGAAAAAACAAGATAA